TAGATTGGAAACCATTAAAAAAATTAAGACAGTTTCAGTTGAAATTAGAGCCCTCAAAATGTGAATTTTTGAAGCGAGAAGTCTCTTATTTAGGCCACATAATTTCTGGCAACGGCGTACAGCCGAAGAAAACTCAGGCTGTAAAAAAAGTTCCTCGACCTCAGAACGTTCGTCAGCTTAAAGGAATCTTGGGCCTGGCGTCCTATTATAGGAGGTTTCAGTAAAATCGCTAAGCCATTAACTCTTCTATTAAAGATAGCCTCAGAATTTAATTGGGTTACTGAACATGATATCTCTTTCGCTAGCTTGAAAGAGGCTCTCGCCTCACCTCAGCCTACGTATTACAATTTCCTGAATTCGAAAAGCAGCTTACAATAGCTACCGACGCCAGTTCGGCGCAAGGACGCCGTGCTGACGCAAGGCATTCCCGACCACCCCTTAGCCTTTGCCAGCCGTACGTTGTGTAAGGCGGAAGAAAATTACAGTGCGGTTGAAAAGGTACTTTTGAGTGGTGTTTGGACCGTTGAGCATTTTCGTCCTTACGTGTACGGTCAGAAACTCAAAATAATTACGGATCACCAGCCTTTGAGACGGCTGTATAATTTAACCAGAGCAAACATGCACCTGACTAGCTAGCGAATAAAGTTAGCAGAATATGATTTTGAAATTGAATACAAAAAGGGAATGCAAAACTTAAATGCAGATTCCGTTAGCAGGGCCCCCTGCGACAGTCAGATCGCACGCCGCTCCCCGCGCATTCAATCTAAAGATGACAGTGAATTTTGGAACAAAGAAATTACTGTAAAAAAACATAATATTCGGCAGTGTCTGTTACAGGAATTTCATACCGAACCCTTGGGAGAGCATTGTGGAGTAACTCGAGTGTTAACTCGTCTCCGCGGGCGGGACTCGTGGCCGCGTATGGCCAGGGACGTAAGAGTACGTAAGGGAGTGTCCATCATTATTAAAACAAAAACACACACACACACACACACAGAAAAACGGCAAAATCATAAATGACTGACTCCGACACCGTCCTCGGTATTTGAAAGGTTGGACATGGATGTCGTAGGCCTCCTTCTCCTTACTTCACAAGAATATTCATATAGTCTCAAACTCCAAGATTTCTTCTCAAAATATTTAATTGCTGCTTCCGTGTCGAACCAAACCGCCCATGAAATAGCCCATCACTTTGTGCACAAATTTATACTTGTTTTTGGTATTCCAGAAATGCTGCTGACTGACAGAGGCAGCAATTTTGTCTCCGAAGTATTTGCCGAAGTGTGCCAGCTGTTGCGTATTAAGCACCTTCACACCACAGCTTATCACCCGCAGACGAACGGTCACGCCGTACGCTCAAGGAATATTTGCGACACTACGTAAATGAAGACTTCAACGACTGGGACCGCTGGATTCCCTTTGCGGCCGCCGTATGCAACTCCTCTCCACATCCGGCCTCCAAATTCGAGCCGTGTGAACTTGTTTACGGGCGTCGCTATTAGGTGCCTTCGTCAGTAGCACGAGATAATACACCTGTAGCTGCAAATTCGGCCGTGACAAATATTAAGCAAACCTAGTGCTTGAAGAGGGTGAACAAGGGCTTTAAAAAAAATTAAAGTTATTGTGCCGGACTGGGACGTAAGTTTCAACCATTGTGGGTTGGCCCTTTCCGGAAAAAATGAAATTGTGGAGTAAATGTAATTATTGGAAGAGGAATGAAGAGAGAAAATGCATGTAAATAGGCTTAAGAAATACTTTTCGAGAGAGGAATCAGCAAAGAGCGTGCAAAATGTGTAGTAGGAAATATTTAATTTTTTCCTACACCAATATTAAGAGGGAGATTATGTTACACACCCCAAATGTTCCACTCGTCCCCATGCCGGTACTTCGAGTCGCTACGCGGCACCTCTCCCCTTAAGCCCCTGAGCCCGTCTCTGGAAGCGCGCGCCCATCACGGATGAATAAATTACGATGACGGCAGTTGGGTTGCCTATGAAAGGCGTAACCAGCAAGGGAGCGAGATCAGTTTGGGGGCCGACAACCGTGTCACGAGCATGCGGCCCAGAAGTGAGCGGTAGTTAATTTTTGTTTTAAGGCATAATGGATTTGTAAAGCGTAGAATGGCACTGAGTATTAATGTAGACACATATCTTTAACAGTAGTATATGGTCTTAATTGTTGGTCAAAAGTGCCCTCTTTGTCAAGTTGTGTTTCGAACCACAAACGCCCTGTAATTTCTGCGTACTTTAGTGATATCTCTTATGGTAATTGAGACTTCTCATTACACACTGGAGAAATAAATAATATTTCATACAAATTTTGAAATTTGTGTATTTTTTTAATTTTTCTGTCACTAATTAAACGTTCCAGTCGTAATTCAGAAATAAATTTGTGAAGCGGATTGTTCCGAGTTTGTTACCCGACCAACCCCGCCCTTCTCAGTTCCCTTGTTAACTCATAACACACTTTGACCCGTGGGCACTCTTGACCGAAGCGACACTTGCGACCTCAGTGACACTAGACCCCACTGAAACGTTTGACCCAAGTCACACTTTTGACCCAAAGGAAACTTGACCGTTTTTTTTCAAAATTTGCTATTTCCCTAAAAAGCACGTGTTTTTGAAAGACTTCTCTAGAGTGCATATTTATCATCCAAATGTAACAAATTATGGCATTTTCTAAAACTACATTAAATTTAAACAAAGAAATTGTCTCTGGAATTGAAATATTTTGCATAGTTTGTGAGATATGGGTAGTTACTTTTTTGTCTTAAAAATGCAAAAATGCAACTTCTTGAATTTTTTGATTTTTGACATAAGCCGGATTCTTCTCAAAACCAGTGTCTTAGCACGAAAATTCATGGCGAATGCACTGTTAATAATATATTTCCATCAGATGTCTTTTTTTCTTAGAAATTCACAAAAACTTTCGATCAAACATCATTTTCATTAAACATTCAATGTAAGAAGTTGCCATGTTTAACCAGTTCTTTTAGAACTAAAATTTCTGTTTTAATGATAAAGTGTAATGTACCTATAACCACCAGTCTCACAGCTGTATCTGTAATAGTTTAGGACCTACGGCGGGTCAAACTTGGCTGTTTCTCAAAATTTTCTATTTCCCTAAAATACACATGTTTTCGAAAAAGAGATGGTACATTTATCGTCCAAATGTGCTGACTGATGGCCTTTCTATAACTACATTATTTTCTCAACAAAGATAGCCTCTAGAATTGAAGAATTTTCCACAGTTGGTGACATAGGCAATTTTGTCTTAAAAAATGCAAAAATTCAACGAATTTTTTTGATTTTCGACATAAGACGGATTCTCTTTGAAACCAGTGTCTTAGCATGAAATTTCAGGGCGAATACACTGGTAATAAGCATATATCCACCAGATGCTTTGTTTTCTAGAATATCACGAAAACTGACTCAACAAACGTCATTTTTATCAAAAATACATTTTAATAAGTTGCCTTGTTTAACCATTCTTTTAGAATAAAAAATCTGTTTTATATTCAAGATAACCTCCAGTGTCAATCTCACTGCTGAATCTGTAAAAGTTTTGGACCTACAGCGTGTCAAATTTGACATAATTGCATTGTAGTGTGGAAGTGCTTGAATTTACTTCCAATAAAGTTTTTCGAAAATTCTTACGATTTCTATGAAAAATAGGTAATGTTTCACGTTAGTAATTAAACATTAATGTTTAAAAGCCATTTTGTCATAAACTACTAAATTTATCAATGAAAATTTCCTTAAATGAAAAGGTTTTACTCTTCTGTAATAATCTTTAAGTAATATTTCGGTTTTATTATGAAACTGAAAAATTGAGAATTTTCTTTAAAAAAAGTGTACTACAGGTGGTTATAGATGGCAGCTTGCTAGAGAATGTGGCTAGTTCACACCAAAGAAATTAGAAAACAAATGAGAAAAGTGTGCGACATTCTGTAGCACCTCTAGTTTCGTTATTCAGTGCTATCAATTCTGCAGCCTTTCTCTTCTTCTGGTATGTCTCATACCGATTCTGTTTCCCATTGCTTTGTTCTTTAATAGCATACTTCTGCTTCTGGCCCCACGAGCATAGCAAAGCATTTCTCGATTGACTATTATGGCATTTTTCCTCCATCTGCAGTTTAAGGTTATATTATCGAATGCCTGTTGTAGCCCAAATGTGCACATCTGCAGACATCCTACAATCAATATAAGCACAAATTTCACAAACACAGTGAAGTAAATTTAAAATCATTGGCTGTATGTCTTTTCCTCTCGCACGCGTAACTTTTAGAGAACTTCTGGCGTTATAGTTTACACAGAGTATAAATGTTCAAGTACATTAGACTGTTTTATAAAATATAATGTATTTTGTTAGTTTATGACTTAAAATGACATAATTAACTTAAAATAGTTATTTAAAAATGACTTATAATTAATAAAATTTCTTATAATTTTATCATAAATAATTAATTCCATCAACTGGAAATAATTGTTAGCTAGAACCCTACATAACTTTTTTTTTGTTGTCATGAGAGCTTTGTTTCCCTGTATTTTTTTCTGGAATTCAAATTCTCCGTGTTTTTCAGCTTTCCCTGTGTTTTCCAGGAAGTGGTCTCTCTGTCATAATATATTTAACTAAAATATTACTTTCAAGAAACGAAATAATAGAATTAAAAATAAGTGGAGATTCAGGACTATAGAGGGTAAAAATTTTGGTGTTGATTTTATTTGTATTTATTATAATTCTCCAACCCTGACTTCATCTCGCTTATTGGGGAAAGACTATCAGATTATTGTTGCATGCAATTTTAATATTTTTATGTGAAGAGAAAAATGCATTGTTACCAGTGTAAAGAGCTAGGAGAAGTGGGATATCAAATATAGTATAAATGTTAAAAAAGTAGAGGAGGGACATCTCAACCTTGAGGAATACCTGATTGAATGGATCAAAAATTTGAAAGAAAGGATTTACATTTAACAGCAAAATAATGACCAAAAGAAAGTTGGAATAATTTTGAACAAATATATTACAAAACCAAAATCCATTCAAAGCACAATGTTTGTTACTGTATCACATAATTTAAAAAAAGGATCATGCTTTAATAATTTATTATTCTCTAAAATATACAAATAAAAAATGTACATTGCCTATATATAAACATACTTCTGAAAAATGCACTAAAACAAAAATAAATATAATTAATAATTAATTATAAACAGTCAATCTACAAGATTGCAATTATGAAAGTAAAAAAACATCTTATTGTAATGCCCTGTATTCTGGAATTAAGCAATCCATAACATCTGGAGGTGGATCAGATATTAGGTAATCATTCAAATATAAAGGAGGAACACAAGGCACTTTTTTGTCCACTAATGTTTGTAAATCCACTCGGTGTTGCACTTTTGCTAGCTCTAGAATACACACTGTTGCACAGCCTGGCTCACTAAACGGAGGGCTGGAAAGCAAAGAAAAGATATTATTTTAATTTTCAATTGTTTTAAATATTATTGTCTCTAAACTCTTCTTGACACCATTTCACACTTTTCTACTAATATTTACCTGATATTTAAAACTTCTCCACCACCAGCAATAACAATTCTTTTGTATAATTCAGCCTTTTCTTTTGATGAACAAATGATAGCTTTCATGCCATGAAAAGCTTTCTTCCCAGTAATCTGAATTTTACATCGCCATCGATATACTGCCTTTGCCAGCTGTTCATTTAAGGAACCTGGCTTCAATAATTTCTGCAAGTAGGAAGCTTTTGGATTTCCCCATTCATAATCCTCCTCCTGAAAACATTACGTGAACTTTAGAGAATACTAATTCAACTCAATTTCATATTCAATTCTATTTAAATTTAGGCTTTCTTTTTTTAATGCAAAAATATTATTTTTAAATTTAAACTTTAAATATAAGAATTAACAATATGTAATGTTCAATACTCCATACTTATGAAGAACATAATTTTTTTAACAGCTGCATTCTAAATTACTGGCTGAAATTTTTCAATCTTAAATTCTCTTAGAAATGCTTAGGTGAAAATATTATAATCAAGTATAAAATGAGGTCTGTTGGTGTGTTTTTTTTTTAAGAATACATGGTAAAACCCACTCTAATGGTTTTGAAAAAAATGTTAAAGAGGGGGCAACTTAATGTTATGAAATTGCATACAGAAGGTCTGAATACAGTTGAACTCCATTTATAAGATTCTCACTTACACATTTTTCAGGTTTGTACCTTTTTTTGGTAGGACCAGGATAAATTCCTATAAATCCAATGCTAAATTATTTCAGTAATGCGTTTTACGTTTATGTTTTTCACGCTTATACATTCGTAATGAAAGTCCCTTTAAAACCGTATAACGTTCAAATGGTCCCGGTGAATTGCGGGGCGACCTGCGCCGAGAGCCTGAAACTTCCATGTTATAATACTTATGTTACTTCTATGCTATATGTATTATACTCGAGTCGGCATTCCCCAACGCTCCCGCGAAGACGACGTCCCGCTAATGAAATTTGTAATATAAAAGCTCAACTCGGTCTAGCCGAGGGGCCAAGAACACGTGAGCCCGCGGAGTGGTAGCGCGAAGTCTGTTCCCCGGACACCTCCGGCAGCGGAACTGCGAAAAACTTCAGTCGGGTGCGTACGGTAGCTCTTTGATGATCTCCTGTGCGGAGGCGACGGCTAGCTCCGAGGGAAGGTCAAAGGCGTCCCCGGGAGAGAGTAACGACGTAGATGACAAATTAGTGAAGTTTGTGCACCGACTGTCCCACACGCCGAAGGCCCTTTTACTCGCCGTAATATCATGCGAGATCCTTTCGCTAGCGACACGGCACAAGCAGCGCTTTTCCGCGTGGCGCGGCAGGTGCCACCAAGCTGTGAGGCTGTGGCAGTCGTGCGCTTCCTGTCGCCCACGTAGAACACCGTGCTTTAATCCACAATCATAAGTGAAATAATCAAGCTCGAAACCGAAGCAACTAGCCGCGGGTCGCCGCCGCCAATTGTAGCCCTCGCAGGACTTTGTTTCCGCAGTGAAACCGAATTGCACGAGGTCATCAGTTAGGTCCCCATTGCGTGCCCGCTAACCGCGAGAGACTTCTTCGATGACCACCTCCGACCGACGATATTTTTCGGACCAACGTTGTAATTTGTGGCTCTGAGACTGTTTAAATCGAAGAATAGTTCCTCTTCTATCTGGTTTTGCGTCCGCGATATTACACGAAAAAGAGATAGATGAAGGCAATCCCTTTCAATATCAGATAAAATAAAATTTTTAAAAGTTGTTAGGGAGTGACCATAAAAAGGTAGATATTGCTAAAGAACTGGGAAGACGATGATGTAAAAATAGTGTATTTTGCATCATAATAATCAATTTCAGTTACGCGTTTTTCTCGCTTATACACATTTTTTCCCTTTAGTCCCCTGAAAAACGTATAAGTGAAGTTTTACTGTATTCTTGCAACTATAAAAAAGTAAATTTTCCTTAAAATTATTTTAATTACCTTAAACTACAGAATAGGTCTTAAACAATAAACTGCATTGATTTTCCTGACTATATTTTAACAGTCTGTCTTGCATAAGTGTTTGGTCTTTCAAATTTACTTTTCTATTTCATTTAGGTACCGATACTTTCTAAAAGCGTTTTTAATTATGTTACAATAATATTTTCCCCATATTGTACAATTAAAAGGTCACATAGTTGCTGCATTATTTAAAAAGTAGCAAATCCCTCTTTCAATGGCAACAAAGGTTTAGTGCAATTTAACTAGGAATATTTACACATGTAATGAAAACATGAATCAGATGTTTGCAAAAATGGCCATAGAAGTGACAACTTAAATGAGGTGGCCATTTGATTGAGCAGGATACACTGCAAATTGGAGTCAATATTATTACAAGCACCATTAAGTCATAGATCTTTCAATTAACATTTTGTTTAAAACTGAGATTAGTCAATCCAAAACCCTTACAATTATGTAAAGTTTTGCAACTTTGAAAAATTTCCATCAATTCATCTGATTTTACATTTGAAATACTGATATACAATGCTTGTGCTTCCAGAGCAGGGAATTGACATTCAAAATAATGAAGTACAGCTTACTCACATTTAAGAAATGTCCTTCCCTTTTGCTGTCCTCAAGATAGAGTTTCTCCAAAACCCATTTTCCAGCTGCAATACTTGTCAATACCTTTTCATTTCTTGATGGTTGTTGACATAACAAGTGAGTAGCATTTTGTTCAAATGATACTGAATTCGATACAGATATCTGAGGGGAGCAAACAATTCCTCCTAATGACCGTATCATTTCTTCACACTGCTCTCGGTTCTAGAATTTCAAAAGAAACAAATTCATTTTTGTGATGCAATGGTAAATTGCATTCAATATTTTTTTGAAATTTTATTTAATTTATTTTAAAAAAAATAATAAAAAAAATTAAAAATCAGCATGAAGTCCCAGCAGATGGCATTTCAAAAAAACTCGCATTCATAAATAATGTCATTTTTCATTAATGTGTTTTTTAGAATATCAAACTGAAATGCCCCCCCAAAAATGTATCTGGTTTCACCCCTTTGGTGTTGACAGAGTGAGGATTTATATACACCTGCACGTATACCAAAAACATTAAGAAAATTTTAAAAATATGCACAAACTAAAGCACATCTTTTATTTTACACCAATAAGCTACTTTTACTTTTAAAAGAGTACATGATCTACAAGAAAGACACTTATGACAAGAAGTCCAGGTGGACTCTTTATTGAAACGAAATCATCACAGAAGACCTCAATGTCTGAAATGCCTGAAACACTGCTTTTTATGTGGTATAACCCTGTCAGCCAAGGGCATTCGAGTCGCTCATCTGATACAATTCACTTCAATGATTAACTTAAAAACTTCAGCAACTTTTGAACACAAATACTAAAATTTTAATCACATTCAATTAACAGTGCCAAAACTATTCACTTACATCAATTGATGTAAGTAGGAACACAGGTGTTGGTTTTTGTTGATTGGAAATCACAGGATCTACCCATTCAACCAGATCTAAAACAAAAATCATTAAAAACATTTTATGGTAATTACTGAATGCATTTGCCTAACCATCCAATAAATGAGACTTAATGATGCATTATCACATGATAGTATTAATAATAGTGACAATATTAACATTAATAATATTTTTTATTTGAAAAAAGTTATATTAATAATAATTTTAGAAGGTGAAAAGAAGTTAGTAATACAGTAAACACAAATTAAAAAAAGCTATTTGATGCCATATACCAATATATAAGCATTTGATGCCACAAAAGGCAGTAGCATAAACAAAATGCTCTAACTAAACCTAGGCCCCCAATCAGTAAAATTTTATTTTAAGAAACTAAAATACTTGATTTAAGAAAAAGTAGTGAAAAAGAAGTATTAACTTCAAAATGTAGTTAAAAAGTAGAACATTTATGAGATATAATGTTACAGTTAAACAAATTCCGAATTCTGCATTTCATTAATACAATTTATTTATGTGATTGGAGGTTATATCCAAAGAAGTCATAAAAATTGACAAAAAAAATTACCTGTGCAAAGATCTAAACTTTCAGGAGCTCTTGCAATGTTTCTAGCGGAATGGGAGCGAGGAGTTGAGAGGCTATCGGTATCAGATTCTTTGCTAGCTTTTGAAGCAGAATCTAGGATTTGATGCAACTCCTGGAGTTGCCTGAAATAAAATAAAATTGCCACTGCAGTCAAAGAATGAACGATGCAAAATTATTTGAATCGATTGTGAACCACAGAACAAGATGGCAAGTAACAAGGTAATCAGAGTCACAAGGAAGCCAAACATATGAACACTAACACTATGAATAATTTGCACAAATTCAGCATTCTAGTGCTCATCACACACCATCTCAAACACTTAAGAGGTGAAAAGGAGGAAGCAAGATGCAAACAATGAAATTTACTCGATTGAGGAGTGATTCTGGGCATATCAATTGCCAGTCATTAGTCTCGTATTTTCCTTGGGAGGAGAGATCTGGCGCAAACCTACATATAAACTAGGGAGATATCCCAACCCCGTATCTCCCACCAGTGGGGCACCGCCCCAGCCAGGACTAGCTCTAAGCTCCAAACTGGTCACCCAACATGTGTGGTAGAGAAGTGCATGTTAGTGTAAGTGTGTAAGTAAGGGGGTGAGGATAGGACAACACAGTGATCATGATTGCCAAGAATGTGGGAGTTGAAACATGTTGATGGACACAGATGATGAAGCACGAAATGATCAATGAAAAAGAGGAAGATGATAGTCCCACAGAATTCAAAAGAATTGGTTATTTGTGGTTGTTGCATTAAGTCTTATTTAAATAGTCTTAGGTGAAATAGTATTTGCAAACCCTTCAGCTAGGAAGCTGCCATCATTAGGTCACCCAGCATTAGAAAAATCACTCAAGACACAGCGTAAGTAATAAGGCATTTAAGGAGAGGCACAAACCAATAAAACATGTAAAAGTGCCTAACTTGGTAAATAATATCAATAATGAAAATTGAACAATTTCATGCCATTGTTTAAATTTATTATTTGTTTTATAATGACTCTTGTTGCCTAGTCAATTCAGATTTATGAAGTCGATTTTTACTTTCTCATATACGTACGTATATTCGAGTAATATACATAGAATAGATAAAATTATGAAATGCTGTGAAAAACCGATGAGATTTCTATGGAAATACACGTTTTGGGACCCCCTGATACCGAAATGTTACTTTTTCCAAACATCCATCTGTCTGATGTATGTGAACAACACCAGTGCCTAAACCATGCCTAGGATTTTTTCCAAATTAAAGAAACCCCTGTTCATTAAGCCTGAATCGAAGCTCAGATTTCAAAAAACATTTTTGGGGGTACTTTTCAAAAAGCCTCTGGGAAATTTTCAAAATTTTCTCAAAAACCGCTCCAAATTTTTTCTTTAAATTTATTGTAAGAACAGAGTAAAATACACTTACAAAGGTGGCCAAAGGTAGAGGCAGAAGTTTACATGGTTAACTCTGAATTTTTGAAAATTTCAAAAGTGGGAAAGTGTGTGCCATTCTGTAGCACCACTAGTTTCAACCTCTTTTAGTAATACTACCCATGATATTTACGTGTTTATGCCTGCAGCTGGTGATGGAGTGGAAGTCCGTGCCTTTTCACCCTAAAAATAAAAAAATAAAAAAAACTGATTCTAACAGTTTAAATTTTTTTTAATTAACAAAATTAAACTGTTGTTTAAAGTTGTTTTGCAGAAACTGAAATTAAAACATTTTAGGAAAGATAAACAGGTTTTCTCTTTTTTCTTTTTCTTTTTCTTTTCATTTCAATAGTTAAAACTCAATGTCAATTTCCTACATAAATCTTTCATGCTTGAAATCCCATATGGGCAAGTATGTTAAGAATAAAAATTTCTACCCGCACTATTCCAATTCTCAAATGGATTTTATTTTATTTTATTTTGTTTTATTATCAAAAGTCCAGCGGATTACTCCCAATTAAAGGACTATCTGTACAATTATTCTGAAGCATTCAAATAATCCATAATATTCACACCAGGAGAAGAAACTGAGTCAATAAAGAAATGAGTAGGATTAGAAGCGCTGATACAATCATTTGAGAGTTCCAAAATAGTAACCCTATGAAAAAGTCTGTCACTAGTAACACAATTATTTAAAAAACCTAGAAAAGCAGACATTAAAACTAATAGAAGTAAAAAAATAATTAATAGACAAACACTTAGCAAGCCAGTTCAGGTGAAATTTAGATATTTGTATTTTAAAATAAATAAATAATTATTATTTTTCGTGAGACGGATTGGACTGGAGTGCAAGGTGTGACTGATTACCTGATTTGGGTCAACTGACGAGTTGTTCAAGGACCTGCAGTCAGCACCAGAAGGTCCAGCCTGGTCATCTAGATCCTCGATCTGACTGCCATCTTGATTATTGGTATGGAAACTTTTCTGTAATTAATTTGAACATTGTCAAAAGGTATTTGATCATACCTCAAGCAAGATGCCTTGGAAACAAGATACTCAAAACATGAAAGCATAACAAAATAACTGGTAATTTTGTATGCTAAGAATATTACAAATACTGAAAGGAAAGAAAATTAAAGGTGCATGTGTATTTTTAACCTATAGTAGGTGCTATCAAACTTGTCATTAGAATCATCAGCACACAGGCTGTTCCTGGATTCATTGGGAAGAAATTATTAAACTTTTTTTTTTCCAGAAAGTATTCTGAAGTTGTATGATATGTATAAGATTTTTTGTCTCTGGAAACTAGTATATATTTGGATCTTGTGATCACTGTAACTGTTTACATGCAGAATTGTTGCCTGCATCATCTGCAAATCCACAATTTTCGGAATCCATCAATTTGCAAGTTTCTGATGTAAAGGTTGAAGAGAAGAGGTCACAGTGGAATGCCATTTGTTTCTTACTTAAATAAATTATGTTTCCTAATTTCCTACCTTTCAATATTTTTAGCCTTTCAGAAATGTTCAAAAGGTTCACCCTAAATGTACCACTATATGAATGTGTCTCTCACGAGAGACTTGACCAGAGGCTTCCTCAAAGGCAAGGTGGTGTTCTACCGAGTAGTGATATTACCCAGGTCATTCAGGAGATCAAAAGAAACTGATTTTTCAATTAAAACAAATTATATAAAACTTTCTTATCCTTGTGACACAAGTTGTGACTTTCCAAAATAATCTAAGAAGCTTAGAGCAAATAAGAGTGATCATTATATACACTAGCAACAACAACTAGCACCTCATATTATGAAAGATACAGAGCACTAAACATTACTGGTTGTGTGAGACAAGGAATTATTTCTATCAGTGTTTTGCAATTTAAACAATATTTTATTAAGTATTGAATAGAAATTCACTTTTACAAAACTTACACATGCACTGAAACTTCCCTTTAACAGAGAAGGAATAGTCTTTAAAACAAGGAAAGCAGCAAACATCATTCAAATTTACTGTACATACTAACACAGGAATTCCAACTCTTTTTAGTGGTGGAGTTTCTAGTCTCATGGAAATACAACAGTTACAAAATGTTGAGGTTTTCAAGAACTGGCTATAACATTTCTCCGGTTCATATTGTGGAGAGTACTTTGATGTGCAATAGAAAATCATTGTCAACACATAGTTATAGTTTGAGTTTTCTAAACATCCTAACTCCATAATTCCTAGGATGAAAAATGGATGTGAAATGGAGAAAATTGCGGAACAGGGGTTATGAGCTTACTCATTTCGTTTCAGGGAGAAAAAATCTTGAGGTTATTACAATAAAACCGTGTACCTTCCCTGTTGACATGTATAATAGATTATGTCTGCAAGAAAACAGAACAAAATTTGTTCAAATCAATAGAGGACAGTTGGTAAGTGTGAAACTGTCTGGTAAAAGGAAATGTTGTTAAGAGAGAAGTTTCACTGCATGTATGTACCAATTAGTTTTCTAATATTCTTACCATGTAAGGTTCATGGGCAAATTTCTGCCAACATCTATGAATCAGTTCTGCCATTGGCTGTAAGTAAAAGAAGAGAATTTTAATTAATTTTTGATATTCTATTTTTTACAAACATTTACAAATCATCAACATTAGCTAGATGTAAACATGCTGAGAGATCAAGAATCATTCAGTAATTTTGCAGCATTAAAGTTCTCAGAACAATGGGTGACAGTCTTGTTGAGGTCTTTCATATAAATTCCTTATCAATATTATTTAGATTAGGAAAATTTGCCTTTGAACATCATCTAAGGGTCCTCATAGGAAATTTAAGTCCTTTAGGTTTCTTAAAATTTGGAATGGAGATCGATGTGGTTTGCTCACTTTGCCATATTTGATCAAAAAAGTTACAAACGTAGTTTGAGTAAATTTTTGAAATGTTCTATGGGCTTTATATGAAGTATTCCAAAAATTTCCATTTCAAATTTGAAGGATTCAGAGTTAAAACAGATTTACTGGGAGAATTTCCATTTTGAATACTCACTTAGATGTTTTTGGTTCCTTTTTAATTCTTCTTGGTATCAAGAATCCCCCAAAATGTGAATTTGTTAAAATATTAATACCTATTTTTGCACTATACTACAAATATGAGAATAACAAAAGAGTAAATATATAATAAGAGATAACCAATTCTGGTTGATATATTGAATTAATTCATGGACAGCAGCAAACACTACAGTGCTACAATTACACACATTTTCTCAAATTATTTGTAATGGTTAATAATTATTATAATATTGCACCACATATTCTACTAATTCTTCAGCAAATTCCTTAAAAACTATTCATCAAAAACAGTTTGAGAGATAAACAAATTAAAAATCTTAAATTTTTAATGAAATTGGTACTTTTGCCACTGGATTCAATACTTCATTATCTATCCTTAAGAAAAGCTGCTTTTTTTAAAAACATTGTCCACCGTGGAAATAAATCCCAACCCACTGCATAAACATACTCTAATGTATCTCAACTATCAGATACTACAGGGAGTAAGCCTCTTATTATTAAAGTTTGAAGGAAATATTTACCTTCAAAAACTTTTGAATTTCTGAGAAACTTCATAAGAGACACGCTTGAATTACTTATGTCCCCAATTAATTATTATAATATTGCACCACATTTATAAAATAAATTAGTAGGAATTCTCTTGAGTTCAGATCACATATAGAACAATAATTCTTTAAATCACCAAAGTTTCGGCTTTTATTAAGCACTAGTGGCCTGGTGCAGAACAAAAACCACACAAAATATGTTTTCCAAAAAGTAGCATGCACACTATTCAAGAATAAATACATTACAGCTGTATAACCTGCAATAAATTAAAGAAAGAAAGAAAGACCATGTGTGTACATAGTACAACTGTTCTTTAAATACCAAGTGTGTAAAAAAAAAAAGGTTGCTGTTCCATAACACATTATGTACATAGCAAAAATTTAATGAAGGACGGACTCTTCCTTCAAGCCTTGCTGTCAGATAACCAGTGTCATAAGAAGTGATGAAAAGAGTATGAGAATATGCACAATAACATTGTCAATTACTTGGAGTTTTTGAGTCAAAATTTAATCTGTTTCATTGTTTATTGATGTTTCCCGAATTTCTGGGCATCTAACAAAACAATAAATACCTTTCACAAGGCCAGAGACTGCACAGTTTTGTTTCAATTTCTGTGCTAGTGGAAAATTACTAATATTGATATTTTTGTATTTTTCTCGTTCCTTTGTATTTAATGAAAGCACAGACACCTCTGAAAAGGCTGATTGCTGCATAGTTATCTATCAATTTCAGTACTCGTTGGAAAAAATAAACCCTCTGTCCTCGTAAGGCATGTCTGAGATAACATTTTGAATTGTTTTCTCAGGTCATGTGCCAGAAGGAAGCATGTTTATCCTACAGGTCGGAGGGGATCTCTCTGAGAACACAAGAAAATGGTATGTTAACTCAGAGTTTATGAACTTTGTACTTCATCACTTCAGCCTTGTTTCACAGCCTCACGTACAGAAGCTTAACATTTTATTCAACGGGAATTATATTTTAAACAGTATTCAACTAGTTTGATATTAGCTTTGCTATAACTTCACAGTGAACTAAACATTCAAATCATACATTCAAAAAATGACAGTATATATTCTTCGATTTTGAAAATCCTGTTCCAAATTGATGCGCTTGTAATTAAATTTATTGGTTGTATAATTTCGGAAATAAACAACTCTATTCAATGCAAGAAAATTATTGTTTTAAATTTTATTACGTAGAATATACAGAAATAATTTTGCATTTCCTGTGTATCCAAGTACTCCAGACTGTCCTGTCTGCATTTAGATGCAGCTACATACTACCATACTGTAGTGAAACATTGTGGCAAAACATTTTCATTCACATAGCGCTCCTAGTATTTCAAAAGACTAACTATTTTTGATTCACGATGCTGTCTCATTGTTGGATGGTGCTCTCATCTAAAAATATGAACGAAAAGCAAAAGCTGATGCTCTCAGACTGGATGCCATCATCTGAGATATGCCTTCTGACCTGACAGGCAACCCCCTTCTTCCTGAAAGCTTCCAGCTGAGAGCCATCAATACCATGTCATATTGCAGACACCTTCTGACCTGTACGATGTATAGGTTATCAAACACATCTGAGAGCAAAGGGCTGAAGAATAAGTTAATATCTTTTCTCCCCAAGTTCCTTAATATCTAACAGAACAATAGACACTTCTCACAAGAATGAAGGCTGCATAGTTTTCTTTCAATTACTGTGAGCATTAGAAATTAGTAATATAGATTCCTGATAACTATAACACTATTTTGTTTTCCAATTTTGAATCTGCATGGATTGGCTGAACAATTTTATTTTGCAACATATTTGTGTGTGCCAACCACTATTCTACTCAGCCGCACACATACAAAACAAAACAATACACACATCTGCTATATTCCCATTGTAGACCTTACTCTGCATACTCTGTTATATACTTTCAAATAATTATGCCAATTTCTGAGTACAATACAACTTGAGAGAATTCCTGCAACTTAGAGCTGTAATGTAATATTAACAGGTGAGATGGCACTTTAATTAAATAATTCAGTATATCCTTACAAAAAGTTTATAGACAACTCTAGAGTGGTTAGTTCTTTCTCTTTTTGGAAAATTATCATTCAGAAATACCCATTTTGGGGAAATCCTTTCTTTGAATATAGTATTGCATTCAGACACACTTATGTGTGAGGAAGTAAAAACAGTGAGGGGTCCTTTACAACATATTCTGAGAGCAACTAAATCAAAGGTACATACGGTACTCTTCCGTCGCTCTTTAGGAGGAGGAGGTTTAAATTCTGGTTCTTCTGGCCACCTATCGATCCATTTCTTCCACATCTTTCGGGTTTTCGGAGAAGGATTTTCTACAAACACTCTCCCATATGGTGTTTCTGGAGTTGGGATGTCTCCTGGAGACCGGGGAGTAGTGTAAGGAACATCATCAGGAGTAGCACAGGAAACTGGGGTTTTTAAAGCAACAGGAGTTGTTGATGCAGTTGTGCCTTGATGAAAAGCACTCTGTGGTGCACACATAGTACTACTGATTGCTGGTGCTTCAATTTTGGATTCAGTGTGGTCTTCAGCAAATTTCCGTTTCACACCTTGAGGAGTTCTTGCAATCACCACAGATGAATCTGAAAACCAATGAAAAATGTTCATGCAAATGCATAAGAGATTAATAATGAACTAATAGCAACTAAAAAGGAGAAAAGAAAAAATAGATAAGAGAGACAGATACGGAGAGAGATAGAGAGAGAGACAGAGAGAGAGAGAGAGAGAGAGAGAGACACAGAGAGAGAGAGAGACACACACAGAGAGAGAGAGACAGAGAGAGAAAGAGACAGAGAGAGAGAGAGAGAAAGAGACAGAGAGAAAGAGAGACAGAGAGAAAGAGAGAAAGAGAGACAGAGAGAAAGAGAGACAGAGAGAGAGAGACAGAGACAGAGAGAGAGAGAGAGAGACAGAGAGACAGAGACACAGAGAGAGAGAGAGACACAGAGAGAGAGAGAGACACAGAGAGAGAGAGACACACACAGAGAGAGAGAGAGAGACACAGAGAGAGAGAGACAGACAGAGAGAGACAGACAGACAGAGAGAGAGAGAGAGAGATAGAGAGACAGAGACAGACAAACAGAGAGAGAGAGCAATTAGCAATTAAATTTATCCACTTTATTCATTACCAGAACCATGTCATAAGAGTTTTTCTGCTGAAAATTCACCGTTTTTTCATGCAGCATTACACAACTCTTTTCTCAAGAAGTTCCTGCTTATGCACAAGAAATTAAAAATTTCCTAGCATTTTAAATTTTATATTTCAGAAAGTTTTTAAGAAATTTCATGGGTTAATCTTGGTAAAGTTAAAAGAAATTGAGCCCTCCACAGTGTCCTCCAGGAAACTCTAAATATAATTTTGAGGGAAACAGTTTAAAATAACCTTACATGAACTCAGAAATAACCTGCAATTTATTTTAGGAATATTTCAGTGAAAAGAATGTGAATATTACTTATGTAGCCAGGATAACCCAAGTCAATTTTGAAATGTAAAAGAAATGGTACACTTAAAGGTTTTGACTCTCTCTCTCAGACATTTCAATTTTTTCCTCTTGGAAAATTATATATTTTTGTTTGTTCTTTTAGTGCATGAACAGATATTTTTCAAAATAAACCATACTAAAATGCAACCGTTATTTAATAATTAAAGAAAATCACAAATGCCATTATGGCTATTGAAAGCACTTCCCTTGAAACTTGGAACTTCTCCAGCCTTTGCAATCATAATCCTAGGATAATGTTCAGTACACAGAGCGTGTGGTTGGAAGTTTGGATTCCTTTAGCTTCACACCATAAGGTTTGTTTACATTTAAATTCAGTGCTATCTGCTTGCCAGGTTTCTAGCCGTTATTGCCCTGACTAAGTATATTAACTGCCTAGCACACAAAGTTCTAAGAATAGTTAAAACCTACCATGTGAGTCAGGAGAAACTAAATATTCTTGCTCATTAATACGTTTATTTTCTTTAGCACAAGATAAAAGCCAATTATGACAGACTGATGGAATCCCCCACTTGCAAGCAGCTTTGTATTTACGACTTGTTGTGAGGTCTGTATCAATGGGACATATCAGGTGACTTGTCGCAAGCAAGTTATCAGCAGGGCGATTGATTCGAGCCATCATTGACTGATGTCTGAAATTAAAAACAAAAACCAATCAGAAATATTTATAAACTGAAAACACAAATGTATTGGAATTCAAAGTACAAGCAATAAAGATACTCATCACCTAATCAAAACTAGCATATACAATATAAATATAAAATGTTATTTTAAATTCATAAAATTGTTACTTTCAATGTGTTTCTTGTGTACGTATCGTTATTGAATTTACTAGGTATTCAATATATTATTTTATTCTTTCTAAATTAATTCAAATACAAATACAAAATCAAATTGAGAAAATAACTATTCCAATGCTGCAAAATTCTACAAATAGGCTACAGCTCCTACAGAAAACTACACAACACTTTTGAAAATAAAACAACTTAAATATTATAGTATGTGTCTGTAGAGTAACTTCATTAATGTTACTGTCTATAATTTATCCGTAGTAGAAAGTACCATTTAAAGAAATTCTAACTTTAACTTATGAATTAAAGAGCAAAGTGCAAAAGTTAAATTTCAGTGCAATGCATAGGGTCTAGAAAAAGAATTTAATCTAATTCCAATCCCCAACTGGAATTCATTTCCAATGAACATAACATGTTTATTACACATATATTATAACTACAATGCCAACTTACACTGCTCCTAAACCCTCCAACAATTCTGTAATGAAACGCAATTCAGCACCACTATATGATGTTGTGGTTATCACACACCCAGAAAGTGGTTTGGCTTCTACATCGAAATTCACTGGCTGATGGTAGTATTTCAGAGGTAGAAGCATTCCTTCATCAGCACAGTCATCCTAAGTAACAGGCAAGTAAGTATAAGGGTTTGGAAGTGGTGGTTGACAAAAAATTATGGCATGGTACAGTTTGGCATTCCTATGGCACCTCTTGCTTTTGGTGTCACTAGACATGCCTATTCTCGTTCTTATAAATCTATCTATCCTCATTTGTATAAAATATACAATAAAGTATATACTTAACACCTTTTAAAAAAAAAGAAAGAAAAAAAAATCAACTCTTCTATTTTAAGGCAACATTTCTCATGCTTTACAATGCACTCCGATACAAGCCATCTTTTACCACCTTACATAGGATAAAATTTGATAAAGATCAACAATTATACGCAAATCATTCAATAGATTATGTTAATTGATTATACAAAGGACACTCTTTCAGAGATATAATTTTTGAAAAAGACCCCAATTATCAAAACATTAAAGGAAATAAATTATTTGAAAATCAACAAAAAAGTATTGTCTGTTTTTTAATGAAAAAGGTCGGAATATTTTTACTACTGCATTAAGAAAACATATTAACAAATTCCTTAAAATAATGAAATTCCTAAGACATTTTAAGAAAATCCAAGAAAACTTATGACAAGAAAATTTTGTATCTTCAATTACATTCAAAAAACAGTTTCCAAAAATTTAATGCTAAAGGAAAAAAATGTTTTTTTTATTTACTAATGATCCCTTCATTGTAGGAACAAAATAACACCTCATAGATTTCATATTAATGATAATTTTTATTGTTAGAAAAATGTACTATTAATTAATCCATTTTTAATTACGGAGAAAACCTGTAAAGAGAATTGACAAACTACTTCCAAAGATGGCATTAAATTACACACTAGAAGGTAAGATGTACTGTGGAAGACACACAAGAAAATAGCATCAACATGAAAACTCTAACACAAGAGGGAATATTGCTTCATTAACTACTGGTAGGACAGAAATATCATTCCTAAAGTAAGACTCTTATATTTTATTAACCCATTTCTTCCCAACTTCCTTTCTAGTAAACACAATGCGAAGTTTACGATATTTTACCTACACCATTAGATGAAAACATTTATAATTTTTTGCACAGTAAATACAATCCTACCGATCCGGTGGCCGAGATCGTTAAGGCAGTAGTGCCGTAGCGATCTCGGACCGAATGATCGTGGGTTCGAGTCCCGCCTCTAGCATGGTTGTGTTGTGTTCGTCCTTTCACCCCCTATTTATAACTTCATAGTGACTTTATGTAAATTATATACATAAAATACATATATAAATTTTTAATTGTTTCTCCATCAAGGCACATGACTTATTTTGACGCCTCTAATATCTGTCTTTTGACCTTGAAATTGTAAGTCAATGTAAATTTTTGTTATCACATTGCAAAATACAATGTGTACAAATACAAGTGATAATAATTGAGGAGAATGTGATTTTCAAAACTATTTTTATAGGCAAATAAATATTGTGTTATGTTTACGCAACATTGGGAGTTTCCCAACAGATTTGAGAATGGCCAAATTACATCATGGCACTACAACAAACTGTTCATGGGAGCTTAGTATTTTGAAAGAGATGTAATATTATGTAGAACATACTCTCTTTGGATTGATCTGTTCACAGATATGCCAAAGAACATAATCTCTGTAGTTTTCTCACCCCTAAAATAAGGCATGACATAGTTGTGACTTCCTATACGAAACAGTTTGCGCAGGCTTTCGAAGCTAGCAATTGTGAAAAAAGAAAGTTCTGAAACAAGTTTGAAGAAATAACAATATAACTACACATTACAGTCAATAATACCTTACGTAAGGAATAGAAATTAGCACAACTGAGTCCATTTCTTGATGAATGATCAAAATGACATTTGCAATCTGGAGTGTTTAGCGAGATTTTATCAGTACTTTTGAGCAGTTTTGTACTTTGGGCAACACTTGGCTAAAACAAATAAATTGTGGGTGGTTTGGTTTCATGAAGTGGTGCATATTGACTGTGGAAAAAAAATATTTTTGAAACCATTTTATGTTCATGGCGGAATATCAAAGAAGGCATGAATGATTAATCGTAGATGAAGTAATTTGCAATTTGATGGAAATTTTTAAGGAAGATAAAAATACCACTTGCTACTTCTTGGCAAACTTCTATATGTGCCATACTATTTTTTTTTTGTCATTTATCAGATGCAGATTTAGTGATGATAAGAAAGCATGCAGACAATGTAATGTTCATAAGAATTGGACAATTTATTTTGGAATGTAAAAAAATTTAACATTTAAAGTGCATTTGGTTTTTACACCTTCATGCATAAATTGGAAACCTGTTTGCATATCTGTAAAAATAATAGACATCAATTGACAAAATACTGATATTTGTATAAAAAGCAGTCAATACACTTCCTTTCCAGAAAACTCCCAACATTGCATACACACAATATACCATCTTGCTCAACCAAAAATCAAAATATTTTTAACAAACTGTTTTGCTATCTGTGAAGTCTTATTATCAATATTTAACCAAAATTTAATAAATAAATTGAGTATTTTTCTGTTTGGGAAAAATATGTGTTAATAATATCTGTTAATTTCATTTTTGCCCTCCCTGATGAAACTTCTGGCTATGCCCTTGAGTAAGCATAAAGTATAAATTGAGAATCTAACATCAGGCTGTTCAACAAGTAAAATGTTGCCATTTCCTAAGAGCAGCTCTTTCACCTAAAGGCACTATCGGACCAAAACCTTCTAATTTTACTTTATTCCTAAATAATTTCCTCGTGAAAATAAAGAAGTCCCTGATTTTCCCATAAAAACAGTCCTTGACAATTCCCTGAAAATGTCTGATTTTCCAAGTTTTTCAACACACTAACCGATCTAGTAAATATAAAAATTTACTTATTTTATTTCCTGCACTACACCATATGGTCACTGGAGATGCCATTTCTGCAGAGTACTGATGAAACACTTCAATAAAATTAGTATAAAGTGATGCTTCTCTTTTGGAAACAAGAAATTTGACAACCTACAGCCATTTAAAAGCAGCTAGCATTAAATGCATTTTTCTTCACACATTCAAATAAATATTATTTTAACAAAGCAGATAAATAGAAAGGATGAGAAACCAGTAAATAAATCAGTGGTAAAATAACACAGCAAAACATTACTTTTTGATCTATTCAAATAAAATGGAGTTATAAACTGGGATTAATAAAACTTGCAAGCTCAGCAAAAAAAATGAACACTACATTAAATTACTTATTTTAAAATCAGATTCTTACCAACCACAAATGTGTTACAATTTCCGTGGTAGTGTGAAACAAGACAGCTCCTTGAACAGGGACCACCCCATAATCAGGAATTCCCTTGAACCTTCGAGCTACCACTTTTCCTCCAGCAGTAGATATGAGTCTTTCAATCTCCTTTGTGTCAACAGCAGTGTAACCAGCAATTGAAAATGTAATTCCTATGAAGAAAATCACAGAACATAATAATCATATAAACAACTTTAAAACAATTTTAAAACTTGAATATAATAATACTTAACATTTATTTGTTTGATACAATGCCTATTTTACGAACAATTAAAAAAGTCAATATAAAACAAGGATGTACAGGGAATTTACGTTTATATGTTTTTCACACTTAAACGTTTATAATAAAAGTCCTTTTAAGACTGTATAACGTCCAAATGATCCCTGTGAGGCGCATGGCGATCTGCACTGAGAGCCTGGAACTTGCCTGTCACTCAAGTCAGCACACTCCAAACCGCTCCCGCGGAGCGACCTATTGCTTGGTCTCCAAGGCGACTTCCCGTGATAGAGTAAAAATTTTGAGTTTTATTTTGCTCATAATAATCAATTTTAATTAGGCGTTTTTCTCACTTATACATTTTTCCCCACCAGTCCCATTGAAAAACATAAATTAAGTTTTATTGTAATACAAATCCAACATTCAAATTGCAATATTACACATTTTGGAGGAATAGATCATCAAATAAATCATGTCATCGTCTACAGTAAAATACACAATTCTTACTCAGAACTGTTGCAGTCCTAGCAGGACTTTCATTACTTAATCATTAATATACAAGAAAAAAGCTTAATATTTATTAAATGTGAGAAACATGAAATAATGATATACAGTAATTCAAAATAATACATTTTATGTTTTATAAGTTCTTTTAATTTATAAGTGTATTTCTATTAAATAAGTTTTGTCTTGGATTTTTTTCTTCATATACATTTTTAACATTTTTAGGAAGATTATTACACAATAAAATGGCTCTATGATGGAGGCGTTTATTTGTTGAGGCTCTAGAAGTACATAACCTATGGTAGTTCTCTTTCCCTTCAGTATTTTAATTATAACACTCACTATTACGAAAAAGTGTGAGCTGGATTTCTTTCTGAAGAGAGTAATGATTATAGTATATGTGTAAAGGTCTATTAGTCATTATGCTGTGTGTGGAGTAGTAATTCTTAGATAATTGTGAAGGTTAATCAGGTTAAATCAGGTTTTTGCACTCCATTCGTTAAGTCTATTCAGGGTGAGTTGTAGTTGCCTTTGGATGATGTTCATGCTATTGGATGAGCAGAAAATGTCCAAATCGTCAACAAAAAATGATGCCTTTAAAGGCACTCCGACTGTCACTACGTTGTTAATTGCAATGGCAAACAGAGTGAAGCTCAGAACTGACCCCTGAGGAATTCCATTTTCCAAAGACTGGAAGGTAGTTTTCTACCAACATGGACTTGAAAGGATCTTGAAGAGAGGAAGTTCTTAAAGAACAGAAGGAGCTGATCTCAACGAGTCGAAAGTCCTCAAAAGTTTCCAAGAGTGCCAAGTATGCTGTGCCTCCAGGTCATGTGGTAGGCTTTCTGAATGTCCAAGAAGACTGCTGCAAGGTGTAATACGAACAAAGTGGATATCTGTGAAGCTCTGAGTGACCAAGTTATCCTAAGTAGATCAATGCTTCTTAAAGCCACACATTGGTGTTAAAAAGTTTCTTGGTTTCAAGAAACAAACCAGATGTACATTAACCATTCGCTCCAATAGCTTACAAATATGACCTAGTGAGCAAAATTGGTCGATAACTCGAGGGCATCATTCAACCCTTTCCTTTAAGCATTATGAACATTGTATTTACAATTGTGGTTTTTGGAGTCAATTTTGGGGATTTTTTTGTATGTAAGTATGGCATGTTAAAAATCAGATTATTAAAAGCAGAACTGACTTCCTGTGTGTCACTTATTATTTCACCTTCCTACAACAGTCGTATGTTCAAAGTTTGTTTTCGTGTTTTCTATTTTTATTTACACTTTCCCGCATCATTTTGGATTTATTTGTTTCTTTATTTAATTTCTTAAATAGTAAGTTACTTTTAAAATTCGTTTTCCTTTTTGGCAACGATTTTTATAATTTTTGTGCTATATTTTAGAGCATTCTAATTTAGTATCAAGATGGAGTGCATAATGTGTCTTCATGTGTTCCGTAAGTTTAATCACTTCCATTGCGAGTTTATTTTTATTATTCTAATATAATATACTATACGGTATGTATTAAGGTTGAATCTGTATTTCTTTAGGACATAAATCTGAATTGTCTTGCAGACAGATATGGATAAATTGAAACTTTAAATTTGTCTGTAATTAATTACTCAAAAAAGTTTTGGTGTAGTACTGAAAGGAAGTGGACAGTAAGAGCAATATTATTTTAATCACATTTGAAAATTGGCACAATGATTGGACTTCCATTCAACCAGACAAAATCAATCAGGCAATGATTTACCACATAATACCTTGAGTACCTAAGAAAATATGAACTTTTTTAAATTAAAAAAAAACAACAACAGGAATTCCATTTTGGCCTATCCTATTTTACTATCTAATTCATTAAACTTTGTATGTTATGGATATATCAATCATTTTTAAAGAAAATGCAGTCTGATCAACTCAATTACAAATATAGTAATCAAATATTGATTACCAAGGGGTTTGTGTTAAGTAGAAAAATATAAGAAGTTTAAAATATTAAAATAAACCAACAAAACTTCTGAACTAGTTAACAAAATATAATGAAATTTCAATACCATTAAAAAATTCAGTCTGAGTTCCATTAACACTGGAAGCCTGTGAGAACTCTGATGGTATCCCTTCTTTGTCCTTTCCACTGTCCGGTGGAAGCAAGGTAACAGAATTGTCCTTATTCTGTGTCAGCTTTAGATCATTATCTGGGATGGCATTAGCAACAACTCTGTCTGTTAATGTTGTATCATCACTGGTTTCTGAAAGTGAAAAATTATATTTACCGAAGTATCACAAAGTATAAGTAACAACAACAAAATATAAGTATATTACACTCACTTGAGTATTGCTCAAAAAGAACCTTTGGTAATAAGGATTTCTTGGGAGAAGCATGTTTAGGAGAACCCATATCAATTGAACGAACATGTTTTTTATTTTGAGAATGTAGTGCAAGCAAGCCCTTGAACAGAAAAGAAACAAAACAAAACATTACACAAACACACACAAACATATGTACACATACAGACACAAACATTAATTCCTCATCTATACAAAAACTTTACTTATATATGATCTGCACAAAATCAGAATTTTTAAAAAAGATACATATATAAATTTTTTTAAAATCTTTTGAGGGCCACTAGTACGTTACAAGACACTTCCAGGGTCGCTGACAAATGATTTACAACCAAAAGTAGTTTTGCTGGTTGAAAAAACATTTAAGAGTGGTCTGAACTAGATGGGGAGTACTTTGTTGGATTTTCTGATGAATAGATGAATGCAAAGTGATCAGAAAGCATTTTATAATTTTCAATACTGCAATCAATGACCCTTAGGCCTCTGAAATTTTGAATGCACACCATGCCATTTTAAAAACTAAAGGTACTTGAAAAAATGTGTTGTAATAATAATTTTTTACAAGTTTTTAAGAGAACATGAGCTTTACTTTTTGGGAATGAATTTTGTGATAATTCAAGTATTGCAAATTTAAAACAAAAACTTACTAATAAAAACTTACCTTTTTGCTAAGTGGCGACTGAAATTCAATTGGGGATGGTAAATCATCTAAACAAGAGAACTTATCTTCTGGAGCTGTACTTCGTAAACGTATACTTTCAATTAACCATTCCACAGTTACAACATGTATCCTGAAAAAGTTATGTCAAATTGAAGTCTCAAAGGACTGTCACACATAAAAATGGCAAGAAGAAACAGGTCTCTGATGTGTTATCATAAGAGGATATGAAGATAAAATAAAAATCTCTGTTGAATTTTCTTAGTTCACATCTATCTAATTTGCCCAAAATTCTGATCCCATCTTTCCATCAGTATTCATTACTTCTCTACTATTGATCTGTAATATATCTGTCCGATACTTCAACTCCAGTTAACATTGTTTTAACTCCTTACAGTAGCTATCTTAATAATTATTTTTTAACAGTTATTTGTACATCAGGTGATTAAAAAAAATATCCATAACTTCCCAAGTAGGTAAAACTGTAATCCTATGCCTACAATATTTTTTCCAAATCAGTTTTTGTAATTTTATAAGTAAAACAGTTAATTTGCATAGTTTCTTGAGAGATTTTTCAAATACATTTGCAAAGTTTAAATTGCAATTATAGAAAACTATTGGAAATGGAAATTCTGGTAAATAAATTATTCAATTTTTATTTTAGTTTTTCTTTCATGTTTGCATACAAAATGCACTTTGTTTTAAGAAAGACTAGTCTCGTTTAATTCTGAAATATATTTTACTTAAAATCCAGTTAACATTGTTTCAACTCTTTACAGTTGCTTTCAAAACTTCGTGAGGTAAAAGAGTTACTGTATTACCAAGAAACCAGGGATAAATAAATGGATGGCATTTCATCTCAAAGGCACACAAAATGAACACTGAAATCAATCATGCTATAAAAAATTAAAGTGTGATTCAGAATTGAAGAGGTGGATTAGAAAACCAAACAAGTCAATTTTTTAATTCAAAGTTATCCCTGCTTATGAATAGTTAATGAATCCCACTAGATATAAATGGAAGTAAAATATTTCCAAAAATTACTCAGTCAAGAAGTTATTGACTCGCAAAAACTTGATTTTTTTTCCAAATCGTGCTTAGTCATTTATTTAAATACATTAAAAACTCTTCTTCTGGAAAAAAAACATTTTCTGACTTGGTGGGTTTTGGAATCCACCCCCTCAATTTAGCAATAACAAATTACTGGTTATGATTACCATTTTAGTACAGAACAGAGCAGTTACACCTTCAAAACTTTTAAGTTTTCTGACTTTTCCCAGCATTCTAGCACTAATATTTTAATTTTCCAGACAGAAATTCATAGACAGTGTTGGATATTTTCCTTCAAAACCTCAGTGTGTCCAACTGTCCATCAGTCTGTAAACAATACTACCAACTTAACTCCAAATAGGATATTCACCAACAGGATAATCCTTTAATTGTTCTAGGTTATGTAACAGTAAAATGAATTTGAAACATCTTAATTTTTGGGGATATTTTACTTGAAGACCATAGGACATTTTTGAAATTTCCTCAAAAATAATATAATATTCTATAAAAATGGCACATCATCTTAAATGAAAACTTCCTTGGAACTAACTTGATGATCGACCAGAGCAAATACCAAGGTAGGAAACACATTATCAGCAATACACACAAATCCTTGGGACTGGGCTTAAAAAGAGCAATCTCAACACTCATGAGAGCAACACCATAAAAACACCTCAGTGCCAATTCTAAGCACCCTACTGTATATGCATTTTTCTCCCAAACATCTGCGACAACCTCCTGACAAGCAAGCTGAAGACACTGGCATTCCCTGTTTCAATGAACAGAAACTCAGTGAACCAACCTCCAACCAGCAAAACAAGAAAACAACAGGACTAGATTCCATCCTAGCTGAAGTCTTGAAAACATCAGCAGAAGAATGCCAAAATCACTTTTTGGGCTTGTATATAACACTTGCCCCAAAACAGGAAATCTCCCAACTGATGGAAGAAGCAGCAACTAGTTATTGAGGGCAAAGTCAAGGGTTGATCACATCCACTGTCATTTTTGCTTGACACTATTACAAAATTGAAAGCTTAGGCTTCCGCAGCCCGAGTCAGTGACAACTTGGTTGTCTAGGATGCTCCACATCCCAGGCACAAGAGTCTGCATTTCTACTGCCATTCTGCGACCTTCTTCAGGGCAAAATGCATTGAGATGGAGAGTTTATGTATGGAAAGACCGACCAAGCATCTGACTGTCTTCAACGTGAAGGGTAGACTATACATAGATTAACATGAAGTGTTGGGTGGCTAAATGACTTTTTTTTACTTTCCCATATATGTTCATATATACGGAGAAATATATGTAGTATAGGGAAAGTTATTTAATGCTGCAAAAAATCGAATTCGAGATTTCAACAGAAATACACGTTTTGGGGTCCCCAGATACCAAACTAGAGTTTTTTTGAAACGTCTATCTATCTGTCCGGTTCCTACTAGCGCCTAAACCATGCGTATGATTTTTTCCAAATGGTAGATCCATCTGGCTTGAGTCAAAACTTTTAAATTTTGAAAAGTATTCTTCAAAAATTTGCGGGGTACTTTACACGAAGTTCTCTGGACATTTTCAAAATGTTCTTAAAATTATTCCAAATATTTCTTTAAATTTCTGGTAAGAATAGAGTAAAATACACTTTAAAAGGTGGCATAGATCAGATTTTCAGGTTTAACACAATTTTCAAAATATTTCAAACATTTTTGAACACAACTTTACAAGTACGAAACTGAAGATAGTGATTTTTGAGAAAATATTGACAGCCTATCATTGTTTATCCTTTCCAGGATAGTTGGGTGTTCGTGAGGGTTGCAGAGAGTATAAAGGGGTTCCACATTATCATTATCATCATTATTTTCATTATTATTGTTGTTGTTATTATTATTGTTGTTATTATTATTGTTGTTATTGTTATTGTTGTTATTGTTATTGTTGTTATTGTTATTGTTGTTATTGTTATTGTTGTTATTGTTATTGTTGTTGTTATTGTTGTTATTGTTATTGTTGTTGTTATTGTTGTTGTTATTGTTGTTGTTATTGTTGTTGTTGTTATTGTTGTTGTTGTTATTGTTATTGTTGTTATTGTTGTTATTGTTGTTATTGTTATTATTGTTATTATTGTTGTTGTTATTATTGTTGTTGTTATTATTGTTGTTGTTATTATTGTTGTTGTTATTGTTGTTATTGTTATTATTATTGTTGTTATTGTTATTATTATTGTTGTTATTGTTATTATTATTATTGTTATTTTTATTATTATTATTATTGTTATTATTGTTGTGATTATTATTATTGTTATTAGTAGTAGTAGTAGTAGTATTAGAATTACACGTTTCTTTGAAGTTGAGGGAACAAAGTAACTAGTTCTTTTCTCCACTGTTTGTTTGCATTCTTTCTAAGAGTGTGAAATAACCACATGTAATTTTGTTTTTATTTGGTTGTCACCAATTCAAAAGGTTTGTTTTATATGAATCAGTGTGTGTCAGTATGCTATGTGAAATTGACAAAACCAACATTTTTCGAAAAGTTTGCCTGTTTCTGATGTTCCAAATTTTTGGTCCATTGAAGAACATACTAACAAGAGTCTGTGTATCCAGAACACTGATATAACTTAAATCTCATCTATAATTCCTTGCCTATTAAAACTTCACATGTTTAATGAAATTCCCTCCCCTTCCTCCAAAAAATGTATGCCCACACAATGTTATACAACTAACACAACTTCTATAATTTGTAATCTAAAAAATAATTACCTTGATCCTAGAGATTTTAGTACCCTTATATCAGATTGAACAAAATCTCCCACAATGACATGAGTAACTGAATCCGATATTTCATTAAATCTAGTTGCACCTCCACTATTAATGATTTTTCTAATTTTCTCAGTGTACTCTGGGCTGAATCCAGATAAATAAATCTGGAAAGAAAAAAAGAAAAACAAACCTTTGTTAATTAAATATTACATGACATTAAAAGAATAAGGTCATCATTTAACTTACATTGCAACCATCCAGAAATACACCTGCTTTCTTGACATCTGATACATTTATTTTGTTTATTAATTGCAAGTGTTTGTCTTTCTTAGGTGATTCTGTAAGAATTATAATTATTAGCAAAAAAAGTCATTATGAAGCACCATTCCATAAAAAATTAAAATATTCATACCTAGGTGATTCACAGCTATCATTGAAGTGTTTCCAACAGGTGTTTTAACGGGAGTTTTTGCAGGAGTTTTAGTACAATCTAGTGACACAGTTTCATTCACATGTGATGTTGGAACATTTATTATACTAGCAGAGATGTCTGGCAAACCAGCTAAAAAATTAAAAATATTTATTAAAAATTATTATTAAAGAGGCACCAATTTAGAATTTCTGAATTTCATACAAAAAGAAAAACTTTCTTTTACATACATATTTCTATAATATTAAATTAAGAATTATAATACCAAAATTCACCAATTTCTCTTTTGGTGTTTGCAAATGGTTATTAAACAATTAGAGATAAATTGGAACATCATTTAAGATGTAAGCTTACTTGTATCAGTACTGTGCTCTGGAGTCGAACATTTTGGATCACAGCGAACTAGAGCAAATTTCTCTAATGGTAAAGCATGCCCTTTAGAAATGCTTTCTGTAACCCACTCTGGAGTCACACACGGAATTTTCCATATATTTGCATGAGTAAATTTATCACCATAGGGTTTGGATACTATAAGCACATTAGTACGACCTGCTTCAAGTTCTCCACAAAATTCTCCTCCTAAGAATAAATACAAATGTATGCCCATTTTCCACTTTCGAAAAAACATGTTTTGTAATTCATTTTTTTCTAGGTCACTCTTAGTCATGAAAAAAATAATTATTTTTAACTTACTGCAGCCACATGAATCTTAATTGATTTGCATGACAAATATAAATATTTTGTAAATCAATATATATTTACAGTATTTACCCGAATATAAATCCACTGAATATAAGACAACCCTCCAATTTTGAGGTGGTCTCCTGAGATATGTAAATTTATTCTTACTATTTAGTCAAAATAAAATTTCTAATTATCTTCTTGAATAGAAAATTGCCTTTTTGATGAGAATGTTAAAACTTTTTGCCTGACGTATATTTTTCTATAAATCACCATAACATGCCTTTGTCACTACCCTCTTCATCTTCACAGTATTGGGTTTGGTTTACATATTTCTGTCTTTTTGGTCCTCTGACGTTTACACCCCACTGAGAGTTGTGTGTATGGAATTTGCATTCTTGGTCTTTCATCTGACACCACCTGTGTCATCAGTTGTTTTTTTTTTTTTTTTTTTTTTTTTTTTTTTCCCTCAACAATTCTGTTCATTTGAGATTCTCTTTAAAAAAGTCCATTAAAAAATATTGGTATCAAAGCAACAGGCAAATTCGCTGTTTGCCAAGAATAAGTCTGCAATTATAACTACGTACATACGCATGAAATTTTCATCATCTTTGCAGCTTGTTGTTTCATCAATGTTTACAAGTTCCATGTCATGGAAAGACAATATAAAATCATATATCCTACCCCACTAGATTTAATCTGCAAATAAAAGACTGCCCTGTATTTTTCATATTATATGTTTAGGAAAATGCCTCGTCTTATATTCGGGTAAATATGTAATTTAGATTCCACTGAATTCCAATCACTTTTAAAATTTATGATTTCATTAATACTTTAAATTACATGCACCAGACAAATAATTACAGGTACGGTCAGACTGATCATTTCAATTTCACTTTCAACATACTGATAGATATCTACAAAGTATATTGCTCAATTCATAAAACAAGTCCTATCCATTGAAACTTTCATTACTTCTTATATCGTCAGCATATGAAAGTCAATTACAAAATCAATACCATTTTTGTTAATGTTGGATTTTAGAGCATCTTTTTGCTTTCGGGGTATCTGAGAACATGTAACCACTAGTTTATAGAATACTGGACATTTGTATTGGTGAAATTCTTCATCATTTGCATGTACATTGCGTTTCTTGCTAGCTTGCCATACAGCCTCTACCCATTGCTCTCTCATCACAGGAATACAATTTTCCACAGCTTTCTGAAACATAATTTATTTGTTGTAAGAGAAATGATTGGACAATGTCAAGTTACTAGATTATTCCCTAGTATTATATATTTCTTTAGAAACATGGCTACTCTATTTCACAGAGCATCAGGATACAAGTGGAATCAGTAAATTAAAAATAATTTAAAAATTTGATCAATCACAGAAACAGATGTCTCAAAATCAAAATGATAGCAGGAAATGTACATTTAATGTTTTGGACATTAAGTGTAATACCTAACGCTAATAGAATGTGTTTTATACAATGGTCCGCTACTAATGTTAAATCACTTCACTCTTAAATTATTATATTTTACTTTAGTTTGCCCAATACAGTAAAATCTCAGTAAAACAAACTTCAGTATTTCGCACATTTCAGTTTTGCATACATATCTGAAATCTCCATTTAAATGTCCTATGTTACAATGTAAAGGTATTTCCCTTTTACAAACTCTTTGTTCAGACCCATTTCATTCTTATGTAGTAAAAATATATGGATTATTATTATTATTTTAATAATATTTTCATTCCTTTCGAATCTGCTTACAGTTTTTCTGGAGTGTGTTTTTCATGACATTTCCTTTATGGTTATGTCCTTTGTTCGCAACATGCATTGAATAACATAGATTCTACAATTGAATTTGTGGATACAAAGATCTAGTTCACCGTGATCACAGCAGATAGAAGCAGTAGTAGTTTTTTCTGGATCATGCTTCAAGTTCGCGGTACCATCATTGACTCAAATATTACCCACAACCCAATTTTCAGCTAGTAATTTCTGAAAAAACTATGCAGGTTATATTCAGGTATATATTGTAAATTACTTGAAACTGCTTTCAATACGAAGTACTTTTTGGTATAAAGTATAAATAAAATGATTTTATGATGTACTTTATACTGAGATTTCACTGTACTTTTACATGCTTCACATGTCTGGATACCGTATTATAAAATTTATATTTAAAAATACAAGAATCACTTCAACACAATTTTTTAAAATTTTTTCGCTTGGAAATTGAATTTATCATCTCATTATGAAACTCATGATTACAGCCAAATTGCTACCTTAACAAACACGTTCCCTAAAATTCTACAGAATGCTCAATAATCATATTTTAAGTTTAATCTTTGTAACAACAATACTGACAGAATCCAGCTTTTGTCTAAACTATGCTGGAAAATTCATCCGATTAATATATGAAACAACACGCAAAAGACATTTGAGTTACCGACTTTTAGATCTAATCTATCTCAAAATGCACTCTGTTCATATGTGTGATTTAGCAAATGAGCTAAAAATTCATCTGTCATATCTTGAATTCAAATCTCAACCAAACTACATTATACTTAAAGATAGTTAATAATTTATTATAAATGTTTTATATTTTTTATTGTAAATGGACACGTGCCTATAAATTATGAAATTAAATAATTAATAATAGAAATTTCAACACCTTATCTTAATAATTATAATCGTAATAACAATAACTAATGTAAATAAACATTACAAACAAATTTTCTATTCTTATTAAAAATTAACTTTATAATATGAAGTTCCAACATTTTACCCTCAACTCACTTTTTAGGCACTGCATGTAAAAAGCCCTCAAAAATTAAACAACCCATTTGAAATTCAGTGTGGCAACATCGATATAATGAACTAAAATTACCTATAAATGATTTAAGAGCTTGTGATTGGATGGGCAGATGGATGCCCAGGCAAATGACTTTACATGAAAATGCTTTTTTACAGGTTCAGGGTCCCACAAAATCTACTTTTCCAACAAAATATCAACATTCAGTTTTTGCATTACTATAATTCCTCCATTCCAAAATAAAAATTAGTCATTTGGAAAATATGAATTTTGTAATGTGAAGTTTTGTAAAAACAATTCTTGAGGGTACATGAAAATCTGTAAGAGCAAGATAATGAGATATCAAGAAATCACTTTGTTTGAAATTATGTAAAATATACCTCATATTTTGCCCTGCAGAGATGATTTGCAACTACGTGAGTGACAGACTGGCGATATTCAGGGCAGTATATACCACCCATGTATTGAATTTTTTCAGCAAGTAATGTCTGGAAAAAGAAAAGACAAAGACACTTAAAACTACAAATTACAAGAGAACAATTTCAAAAAAAAATTTATTTTATTCTTTACAAAAGCAATGGTCCAAGCCCCTACTGTTCAAAACATAGCTGTGGACTTTAGTTGAATGAAAGGTATAGCAGCAGTATATGCATGCCTCTTAAAAATGTTTGGTTTGATGATTTCAGTGCATATGAAAGACAGAGTTTAAGCCTGTCATGTTAAATGTTGAAATGCAAATGGAGTCAGTAGAAAATGAAGTTAGAAAATTAGTTACATGGCTTAAAACTGTACTGACCCAGTCTATGAAATTACCAAAAAAGCAAATCCCTTAATTTTGAAGAAGTCTGAGAATGAATGAGAAATTTAATCCCTGTCTGCTACATGAATATTTTCTCCTTCCTTATGATCATGTCTGTCCCTATCATTATCACTATCAATTTTTTAGTTTCAAATAAGGGGCCCCCTTGGACCAACTGCCCCTGGGCACCTCTGCTAAGATCATTCATTCTTTTTTGTGCCAAAAGTCCTAAAGCTCATGGTCTCTACTTTCTAACTTGAAATTTGCATAATTAACTCCTAGTTTCCATACCTCAACAAAATCTAGACCACAATTTCCATTCATTTTCACTTGGCATTTCACTTACAATTCAATTCATTTGAAATTATCTTTTTAACAGCTCATTCAAAAAGATTAATCTGAATTGCCTGGCACATTACAATGGATATACTTATTTTCAAGAAGAGGAAGAGCTTACCCGGCAGTGGTGACTCAAGCAGTACAAGACATCACCCACCAACAACGGTCAAGTTGAACTGTGGTATCTACTCGCAAAATGAACTCTTACTATCTCCTCGCAAAATGTTGAGACCAAGTATTTGACCAGATATTGACAACTGTTCATTGGAGACTAGTCGCTACAACAATCATGGCTTCAATACTCATAGCAACTAATGAGATACTTGGGAAGACTCACACTGAACAACATTTTGCTTGGAAAAATCCAAAACTACTTCTGTATTGAATGATTTGAATTCTGGGTTTGTTTTCTTGTTGAGATCAAGGGAATCCTATGTTAATTAAAAGATCTAATCATGATATGATGCAAAATAGCTGACATTACAACACTAGAATCAATCAACCAAATTAAAGACCTAGGTGTAAGTTTTGAGCCCAAAATGAAATTTAATATACATGTAGACCATATTGTCAATAAAGCCAATCAAACAATCGGCTTTGTGAGGAGGATGGTAGTAGAATTTGTAATCTTAAAAGTCATTCAAAATCCTTAATATTACATTAATAAGGCCTATTTTCATATATTCCTCTAAAAATAATTGTCTGCATTGAGTTGAATTGAATTGAATTAAATTAATGCCTTATTTTACGTGGCGAGACTCAGGCCATGAGGTCTGCTCTTCCGTCTAACCATGCAAGTTTTGCTATGCTCCTTTTATCAACTAGCAGAGAAAGGAGGTATTTCTTGGGCGAGAAACAGGCAATTTCAATTTAGCTCAGAGGCGTCCTGCCAACTTGGACGCATTGTATACGTCATATAAAAATAAATTAGAAACAGTTCAACTCAAGTATTTAAATTTATTAGCTTGGAAACTCTGCTTGCTTTCTTTGTTCTTAATCCACGATTATACTCAAATAGCACATGTAATTAATATGAGCTCTCTTAAATCATACAGAAAAATTCATGATCTTGCATTCCTATTCAATCTATGCAACAATACAATAGATTGTGCCAAGTTACATTCAAAAGTATCGGGGACAAGTTACATTCAAAGGTATTGTGGAAAGTACCCACATGACAATTGACATGAAATCATTACATTCTTGGTATCCAGCACAAACAATTGGCAAAACACCCCAACATGGAGAACATGCAAACATGCTAATTAAATTATAGTAGACAACAAAATCCCTTCTATCTCTGATCCAAATATGGTAAAACAGTTGAAAAATTATCTGCTAACTGACTACGTGATTCATGGTTGTCTCTCATCATCGTATCTATTATTTTCTTTTGTATCATTGTAATTTCTGTACTAGTATGTATTAATTGGGTGATTGCCTGTGAAATAAACATTATTATTAAGTCAAAGCAGCTTAGCTGAGATCCCCAATGCCTGCGTGACCCTGTTCAAGTCTACTCTGCATGGGTGTGACTAAGGATACATAGCAAAAAATTGTTAAGGTTCAGTGTGTTTACCACTGCAAAGAGTTGGGAACTTTATCAGGAAAAATAAAATAACTTTTCCTTCACATGTAAAATTAGAATTTAAAAAAATTAAAAGAACTCTTAACAATTTTGCTACCTCAATCTCATTTTCCTTTTATCAAATTTGGCCAACTGATCAAAAGTGGAACACACAGTAATAGTCAACAACATGCTATGTACAAAGGGAAAAAAGGAACTGACATTGAAATTAATTTAAATGAAGGCTTCTCAGTTCCAAATTCAATCAAGTAGGTATTCTTTTAACCTCAGAATTAAGAATAAATAATAGAAATGTAGCAATTAATACATTTTAACAACAATTATTAATTACAATACCTTTTCTGGTTCCGAAAAGCCAGTTGTTGTTATAACTAGGTCTCGCATCGCCAAAGTGAACAATGGAAATTTGCTCTTTGGAATTAAAATATCGGCAGCCAGACAGTCAAGTACACATCTTGGTCCAATAAGACTACTAGACAGAAAAGGAACAATTTGTAGCATTTTGAAGTTTATGTACTTCAAATACTAAATCATTTTTGGTTTAAGTAAAACATTGTCTTTTAAGCGGATTTTAAGCAGATTTGCACATTTCTGCTGTTATTATGTTCAAAATGAGTATCCCATGGCTAAACAAAATTCTTAAAAAGTAATTCTTAATAATGTGGTTGTACAACCACTTGTCAATATTCCATTCCACCATCTGCAAAAATTGGGGTGAATATTTAATTTTAATTATCAGTTATTGTTTCTTAACACAATACATTTTCTTTAAATGGTTAATCATAATTCCGTAATTGCTGAATTTTAAGTTACTAATATCAACTAAAATGGTTTAAACAAGATAAGAAGGTACAGCAAGATCAGCAAGGTGTTACGTAAACACTTGTTTCCTTTTTGTCAATAAATTTATTTTATAAAGCTCTGACAATTCTGTAACATGGAAATAAGACACCCTCATTAACTTTTTGAACCAAATCTAATGCTTCATGCTCCCCAATCCATATCTGAAACAACTGAGTATTTAGTTGTCCCCTTTTTAACAGTGCATGGGAAGCACATGAAGAACAGAATTGAACCTAAATCAAGTTTTCACAAAAATCTAACTTTATGCCTTTTTGTAAATACTGTAGAACCATGTTATGAGAGAACATATCCTGAGTCGCAATACATGAACTACGTGTATTTTCTTCCTGCATGTAAGAGACCCCACTTATAAAAGTTTTCTGCATACAGCAGTCCGAACATAAGTTATGATAAATTTTACTTCCTTCTGCAAGAGTCAGAAAAGGAAAAGACTTAAATTTGATTTAATCTTATTCAAATACATTTTCAAATTCAAATTCATCCCCTCCCCCCGGACTATTAATAATTTGTTTATTTTAAATTACAGTTGTTGGCAATGATTTTTAAAAAATGTATTTTTTTAAAATTCAACAGCATTAACCTTAATTTCGAAAGTATTTAATAAAAAGTTAGGAAATATGATTGGAACAGTTTCAAAACACACAAGAAAGTAAAAATCAGCCAAAATATTTCATTATCAAGCCTCAAAGCCAAAATATTGTATTAAACAAAATCAGAACATTATTTGAAATTATTTGATCCATTAAGATGGATTAATATTTTTAACATTGCAGATCTGAAAATGCTTATGATTTTTTTCATCATCCGCAATGGGTTTCTATGATCTTTGCCAGATATACAAGCGCATACTTTTAGCCCTGTGATAGGACAAAAGTACACAAATAAGTATTCCGTATTCCTGAAGGTTCAATGAACTCCAAGTTTTTAGTTCAAGAAAACAAAAACAAAATTGATATCAAAGCAAGTTAATTCAAATATGCAAATGCCCTGGCTAAACTACTTTGTAAAACTGTGAAATCCAAGTTACAAATTAATTTATTAGGAATCAGGTACTCGAAGTGCATATTTTTACCCCAACTACTCAATTTCTTTAAATCCCTACTTCTCGGCTACAAAATCTGTTCAATCTATCTACATATATATTGATCTATGAAGTTAATAGATTTATAAAAATATAAATAGTTAACAATTACTGTTAAAGTGAATACCACATACATGCAATCAAAACTTCTCAAATATCCAAAAGAAGAGCCAGTAAATTCTTCACAAACAAAAACATCAGCTTTTGTTGGAAGTAAACTTGAGCAATCTTTTCCAGTAATCCATGTGGGACTTAAGCTGTGATCTTCACACACCTGGAAAAAAATACAAATTTGGAAACTGTTAATAAGTTCCAACAAGAGGAAAATTTGTCAACTGAAAAAAAAAAGTCACGTTAATTGACTGAAGAAAATGTAAAGCAAGTACACTGAACTCTCCCTAATACCACAAGAGAAAAATTTAGTACCAATGAAGAAATAGATTGATAATGATGTGGGATGTGGGGTAGTCACTCCGTTAAATCCAAAGAATGAACAAGAGCTGCCATTCATGAAGGTTAAACGGTAAACACTGACCGTACATAAATCAGCTACAAGAGTTTGCTAAGATGACAACCACTTGAGAAGGTTTTAGACCCATCCTGTTGACTGAGCTCAATCTTCCAAGTTGCTCCATCCAGTTCTCATTGATAATTTTCTAGATTTTTAAGCAGTGGCTCACAGCTACTCCAGCAAAACATGATCATGAGGGGTTAAGAGCAAACTCTTCCCGAAGAGCAAGGGCATACAACTCTGCACTTAAATACGTAAGAAAATACAGTGAACTCCATTATAGTGAACTTCTGAGGACAAACATTTTTGGTACACTATACCACAAGTCGCTTACAGATAGTCTTCGCGTTAGGATGTGTTTTGGAGCAAATCCGCGCGGTAAAGTAAAAGGCCATGGGCTGCGTCGGGGCATCCTGCGTGTTTTCATGGTGGCGAAGGAACAAACGGTGCGCGTTGTCCGACGACGGTGTGGCTTCGCTTTGCGCATCGATTTTGGCCCCCTCTTCTTGCAATCGGTGGGTTGAACAAAATCCTTTGCCTGCTGATGAATCGTCCGCGTCCACGCGCCCCGAATGTGATCGAAGCTCAATTAACCGCGGCCCAGCAGTGCATTAGAGAGTTGAGCTTCATGACCCAGACGTTGGAGAAACAGAGTTCTGAAGCGATCAACGCATTCGGGTACAGAAGTCAAAAACACCGTTGTTGATGAAGAGCCTTACAAGAAAAAGGCCAAAGTGCTCAGAGATTCGATGCTGCGCCACAGCGGAGGCGTTTCCAAGAAGAGAGGAGCGGACGTTTCGTCCATTTCCAAATGAAATCCGTCGTGGAAGGAGCGATTACGATGACCATGCGGAAAGATCGATGGTCTGTTCGTAGATCCAAATCACTGGCTATGGCAAGTGGACCTCGCACGGGATGGTCTTCATTTAAATTTCCGCGGTGCACAGAAGCTGGGTCGCCTGCATAACGAGGTTATCCAGGCATGCATGAGGGGCAGTGACTGCACGCAAGAAAGACACTGGCATCGGTGCTGGCGGAATCGGGCCTTGGGGAGACTGCGGAGACAGCGAGGACTCTAGACAGCGACGGCGGCGGCGGCGGCGGCGGCGGCAAAGGCCAAGGCAGAGGCGACTTCAAGGAGACGGGATGAGGGAGGAGGAGACTGCCGCGCGGGAGGAGACAACTTTCAATGCCCCCAATACGCGTACTGCTTAACTTCTCGGCACGATCGCTACAAAAATGGTCGCGGCTCTTCTCATTTTCAATGTGAGCTTATCGCGCCTGATGTGGAAAAAATTGGATTCCGGGAAATCTGACAATGAGTAATTCTTTCGTCGCGGACGCCCAGGAGGTGGTGCAACCTGATGGTGATTTTTCGAAGCAGTTGAAAAGATTTCAAAGAGCTTTGTATAAAAATTATTTTTTTGGCAATTGGGAAAGAATTCGAGCGATTTTTTTAGCAATCTCGAAGGGGGGAAGTTTGAAATGTATGCTATGTTCTAATTAAATGCTTTCAAAGAGTAGCAAAACAATGTTCGAAGCGTGGCGCCAAATTTGGATTTAGCGGCCCATGTACCAACACAATTTCGAAGTTATTCAAAAGCATAAGAGAAGGAAAAGAAAATTGCGGAGGGACGTCATTTGAAAGATATCCTTGATGCGAATGACAATAATTGGTCGAAATTGTTAAAGTATTTTCGTAGAAGGAAGGGAAACAAAGCCGAAATACCAGCAGTTCGTATTAATAATTCGCAAATAACTAACAGAGAAAAAGAAAACGCTTTTAATGCACATTGCACTTCAATATTTAAGCAGAATAAATATACACAGTTACCTACGTTATCAGATAGAAATATTTCGTATCGACGTAAGTACTCTACGGAAAATAATAAAATTAATGAAAAACGGAAAATCTTCTAACTGTGGAGAATTTTGTATGCTGGCTACATAGGTCGAATTCAGCCGAGAGAGTTATCGAAGACGGAGGCCCATATTCTATATCCACGGACATCATTAAATAAGGTAGAGAGACTATTCTACCGTACATATTAGATTTAATAATTCTATCAATAACGCTTGCGTGTCGGAAGAATGAGAGTTAGCACTAGTCGTACCCCTTAAAAAAAGCGATAAAACAGTACTTAGTAACTTTAGACCCATAAGTTTTAATCAGTCGTATGCAAACTCATAGAACTACTACGACCGGAAACCATGGGAGGGCAAGGAATGGCTGTACCCAGGTCAGCACGGTTTTTCTTGCGAAAGTCAGCTTGTCTCACACTTCTACAGGACCTAGCCGAAGAAAATGATACAGATTGAAGGGTAGACGTGATAGTAATAGACTTTGCCAATGCTTTTCATGTTATCACACACGATCGTCCTATAAACACGTTATAGACTCGGATATAGACAAGTGTGGTGGCCGGGATAAACGAACTATTACATGATAGGAAACCATGTTCGAATAAGAAGATATTTATCAACCTCCGCAAGTGTTACGTCCAGGGATTTCACAAATGTCCTTGAACCTCTCATGTTTCTCGCCTACGTGGATGACTTACCAAAACATTTAGCTTCAAAAGACTCTTTGTAGACGACTATCATCTATTATGTTATCAAATCAGAGGACGTAGATATTTTGCAGCTAGACACAGACAAACACCTGGGCAGAAACAAACGGCATGGAAATAAAAACAGTTCGAAGAGCAAAGCCATCACGTTTGGTAGGGATCGATGTTATCTTGCAACTATTTAGTAAAACAATTAGTAAATTGAGATGGGAAAATCCAGTACATTTCATTGAGGGGAAAGCCTGAAGATCATTGTATTTCGTTATGTGGATCCTAAAGAGAAGTACAGTAAGAAGAAAAAAATAGCTGATGTCACTAGTGCGACCAGTGTTTGAAAAAGGTGCGGTATGTTGGGACCCACACAGAATATCACAGCAAGATAATCTAGAAAAGCTCCCGCGCAGAGCATCAAAATTCACTTTCAAGGGTACAAAAATAGAGGTATATGTGAGTCACTCGAAAAAAGGCAGATTAAATTGCGGTTCAACATACACACCAAACACAGGCTATCCCACTTGGAATGAAATTAACCGTCGTCAAGGAAAATCTACATACTTTGGTAGAGCGGATTACGTGCACAAAATTAAGACAACACAGAAAACGGACGATGGGAAATTTTCATTCACAAACCGAACTAATAGTGACTGGAACAGTTTGCCTGCGACAATCTTGGAACCCTTTCCTGAAAGCTTGAGAAAATTTAAAAATAATTATTTTCTAGCTATTTATGGATATTTGAGGTAAGTGTATTACTGTTAAGTTTCTACTGATAAATTAGTATTATTTCATAATAAGTAACTTTGTTTACTTATAATTAGTACCAGTTGTATTATAATTTTATTACTATTTGTATAGTGCAAGCAGTATTGTGTTGTGTTGTGAAGAGAAAGGAAAGCGGAAGAAATTCACCACAGTGTAGTGTGATGCACGGTGTAGTGCAGTGATGTAAGGCTTTTGCGGTGTTTTGTACTATTTATTATTAATTCTTGTTTTTTAATTAATTACTCTTGTAATTTACTGCTAGTCAATGCAAGCTTAATTCATGTAAAGTTAAGATATTCTGCCACCACGTTGCAATACGTAATTGTAAAATTAATGATAAACTTAATCTAAAATATTAGAGGTTTATTATATTTGATGTCAAAATTAAATAAAATTTCTCCATGATTATTGATTTTGTTAATGAAGAGATAGAGCAAAATATATTAACAGCACAAACTCAAAATTTCAATATCTATATTCGTACTTAAAAAATGAATTATTTTCAATTGTTTACTTCATACATTTTTCTATTAGTATTTTCTCTAGACCTTTCTCTAGTTTGCGCTCTCTCCATACTTTATTCTGCATTGTGCACTGTCTCTAAGAATCCCAATGCAATCTTAACACCTTTCAATGACTTACACTGCTGGATACAGACCGAAGGCCCCCTCGCTCAGGTTTTCATCCAGTTTCTCCGATCCTTGAGCAAATGCTGAGATGGCTCCTTGTTTTGCTTCTGGACATAAATGTAACTTCAAATTCACTTCCCCTTTTGAGAAATTCTTGTTGATATTCCTCAATATTTCCAATAATTCACCAAAAATTGCACAGAAACTACTAAACTTTTCAGAGCAAAGTACTTTACATTAATGATAGAACTAATTATGAAGAATAAATTTTTTGAAGGAAAAAACAATTTTCAACATTGTAGTTGTAGGAAGACAAAATTCAGTTTTGACATTACAAAATTTCCATGTTAATAGAGAAAATCAGACCTGTGCTATCTTTGTATGAGTATTTCACTCTTTTCTTACAAGGAATCGAAAGAAAAAATTTGGAGCAGTTTTGAGAAAATTTCAAAAATATCCCATGGGCTTCAAGCAAAGGAGCCTCAAAAATTTAAAGTGTTTTTCAAAATCACAGAGCTTCGAGACAAGCCAGATCGACCGATAAATATCCATTTGGGAAAGATCCTATCAATATTTTAGGTATTAGTGTTGTTCACAAGCAGACTGACATTTTGAAAGAAAGAAAGAAAAAGAGGGAAAAGAGATTATTTACATGTTCTGTCTATGGTTATTTTCAAATTAATCAGACTATATTGGGCCCTTAATTTAAAGACAGAAAATTATATAACTGTTTATATCAATGTTACACGTGATACATGTGATTTTCTGTTATTATGCAACACAAGTAATATTGATATAAAGCGGTTATACAATTTTCTGCCTTTAAATTAAAGGCCAAATACAGTCTGACTAAAACAAGAAAGTTACTTACTTGCACAAATAATATTCTTGTATCTATTAGAAATGGAAGTAAAGTTGTTTGCTTATGACAAGATTGTTCTTTGGAAAAAGAATAAACTAGGTAGTATGTTTTCCAATTTGTTTCATAAATATTATGACATTTGCTGAGAGAAGAAAATGAAGTGAGACGATTGAAACTTTTTGATCCAAAAAGATCCGATGAAACGAAAGATCTTACATGGACATAACACTGACCTTGTAAACATTTTTCATCATTCTGAAAAATTGCAACCATAGTTTGAAACCTCTGAAGTTAAGGCATACTTTAATACAAAACAAAAATTTAATGAGCAACCGAGTTAATGATACTTGGAATATTCTACCCAAGAATGCAGTAATGGCACCTAGTCTTCATTACTTCATAAGAGCTTACAATCGTCTCTTCACGTCCTTGGACTTTAATGACCTTCCAACTTTTTCACCTGACAATTTGTGATAAAATGTTTCTGTGATAAGAAAATGTGATCAATCAAAATTAAAATTATGTCAGAATTGAATTGGGAATTATGTTGAATTGGGCTATACGTAATGTTATCAGTACATTACTTTAAATAAATAAATAATAAAAGACAAAGGAAAAATTGTTTTAATGCTATACTGCATTTTGAACAGGCAATTGCTTGCACCATTGAAAAGGAACAATATGAAATTGGCAGATGATAATGTTAAAAAATTTCTGGGTCACTCAATTCAGTCAAACCTCAAATATAATACCCATATAAATGAACTGAACACTAAATAAAGTTCATTAATTTAAGCATTTAGAATTCTTTCAAATTCTGCCATCAGCCTTCATGCAATTAATTGCATTGCAATCCTTTGCCAATATACATTCCCACCTCAGATACGGCCTATTCTGGGGAAGCACATCCTATAGTACCCAGACTTTTAGACTGCACAAAAAAAATTGTACGAATAATAAGAAAATGCCATCTATGTGATTCTTGCAACCTTCCCTTCAATGAGCTGAGAATCTTACCATCTCCTTGCCTATTTACAAATCTGTAAATTTTAAGTAAATAGTTTCTCTCAAAAACTATTTACCTCAAGCATGGAAACATATTTTCATGCAGTAAATACATTTATAATTACAATAAACATATTAGAAATTATATTTATCAAGTGTCAGTATCAACAGTTCATTACAAGAAATCTACATTTACTTCATGTACATTACTTTGCTACACATTTTCAGACGACATTAAATAATTAAATTCAACTCACAATTTTAAGTAACACAAAAAATCTTTTCTGCTGAGTAACTGTTTCTACACCTTTAGAAAGTACATCCACCATCACAAAGATAAATAATATTTATTTTGGTAGCAATGTTTTAATTAATTAGCTTTTTGTTGTATAATTTTTAAAAAAGACTACATATGCTTGTAACAAGTAATGAACTACAGCTTCTGGATCAATGATCCCATCTCAATCACGTTTCAATGCTTTCCCTGATCAGTTGAACAAATGCCAAGATGGCCCATTGTTCTGCTTCTGTACATAAATATAGCTTCATCTTGCACACATATTTTTTAGTTCTCCTTTTGCTACTTGTGGTAGAAGTAGTGCTGGAGATTTAGTTTACTATATGTTAGCAATACTATAAAATCCAATCTGTAGTTCATGTATCAATGCAAATAAGTTTTCTACAACTCGGAAGTGAACATTTCTAATTTTTAAATGTTAATAACCTAGCTTTGTTGTTATTTACATTCATCATTCAACTACAAATAGTAAATGGGCATGGAAGAAATTCTGGAGCTCAAGAAAACAAGCACAGAAAGCCTATCCCTATTATACATCACAAAGTGTTAACTGTGTTAACGAACATCAATTAAATAATAAATCAAAATCATTACCTGAAATGCTCTTTTCATGTCATCGCTGCACTCGTCTTCACTTTCCTTAGTGTCCGGTACAACGAAGTGTATGTTGGCATTTTCATCAGCTCCAAATGACGCTGACATCGTAAAAGTCTGTGAAATTTGTACATTAACTAGTTCTTAAATTGAGGTACAAACTGGAAAATAGCCTCAAATTTACTTAGTTCTTAGCTTGTGTCACAAGTTATTCTAACCTGCTGCACGAAAAAAAATTGCAGTCACGAACAGTGATGTTTATGGAAGTCAGTTCGTTATTCAATCGTTAATAAATAGTACGTATCATAATCTCGACTCATTCACCCGTTCGAAACAATACGGAGAGCGCACTTAGAGAGTATTGTTTCACTATACCGCGGTGGAAAGAAATGGATACTGTCCAGATACTGTGCCACACAGAAACAATCCCGCCATCGCCGTATCCCTATCGATAGGTTTGGTTTAATCGAGAATCGAATGACATCGATTCAATTGTTAAAGTAATCGCCTTCTCTTTGCACGATGTTTCCACGATGGAATATCTTAAATCATGCAATGAAGTTTTTCATACACGAAGTCTGTAGTCTGTAATAGTTAGACAAGACTTCGTGCTTGCATATTTCATGCATCATGTTGTCTTCAACGAATTTTATTATTCCATGGCTATGTTTTATTGTTCAAGAAATATAGTATGATTTATTTAGTCATGCACATGACGTAAATCAGCTGTTGCGGATTCATCTAATCGAGAGCTTGTTGCTACAGTCACTTTGGGGACGTTCAAGCTTCTGATGAAACCGTGAGCAGCTGATTTACGTCAAGTACATGGTTAAATAAATCCTAGTTTACTTGCGAGTATGGTGTATTTATCTAAGGTCGCATCAACATCTAGGTCATTAACGACCAATATTGGATTTAACGTTATGGTAACTATAAAGATGATATATGATGATAGGGGGTGAAAGGACGATCACATAATTTATTTGCAAAATTCTTTCGTTCTTTTCTTAATCGTTCGTCGTTATCATTTCATCTTAATTAAACTAACGAGAGCAAAGGAGTGGGGGGTAAGTATTCCGGGGCTAAGGAAACGTCAGCCTATAATACCAGGGTGGAATAACCAAGAGGCATGTGCTGTGAGGGGGACTATTGCTCTCTGAAAATTTTGAATGGGTGTCCCGCAGTCTTACATAATAGCAATTAGGGAAATCTTAATGCACATTTTTTATTAATCGTTTTTGTTGTTGTTAAGAAGCTCTCAAAATTATCAGGCAACCAAGTGAATGGTTCAACATGAAACCAATTGTATCAATAAAGTTATAATTTCATACTCTTTGTTTAATTGATTTACTAGTCAAATGTACCGTGTAGTATAAATAAAAAGGTTCAGTGGTAAAAGGGACTAGAAATGTGGTGCCCCCTCTTGTTTGCTGCGCATGTTTATGGAAATAACATTCATTATCCATGCACAATAATACAGATGCATATTTAGAATGAAACTAAAGGAATTCTAATCTGTTTCTAATATTGAGACCAAATCTGGAGCGAATTTAGACTGATCTTCTAGTACGTACAGTTTATTCCTAATCGTGTGTTCTAAATATCTGATGACCAAAATTCCAAAATGTTAATAATATAAACGAACACAGTATGTATGTCGCGCAGTGATAATCACAGTATGTATAAAGCGACCTAATGTAAATAAATATAAAAATAATAGGTAATATTTAGTTTGTCGGCGCTAGGCGTGGGCAGACCGAGTGATCATCCTCGTAAGTCAAGGGGCCCGATGATGGGGGAAAATTGTAAAAACATTGAGAAAGAAATTAGAATTCGAGAAAATCGTTATCGCAATTTTCTAAGTCGCGGTAAAATATTCTGATATTTCGAAAAATGTTCAATTATTTTTTTGTCTTAAATTGTGAATTATAATCATTACTTATAAAGTAGGACTCCATGAAATGAATGAAAGAACGCTAACATAAAATAGGTTCTACTGATATTCATGTTTATTATTTCATGAATTTTTATTTATTATTTAATGACACCTTTCTAAAATGTTAATGCCCTCGAATCAGGTTTGATCATGGGAGTACTTCTTCTGGTAGAAACAAACTATGGAACTCTCTTCGCCCGCTGTTGTGAATGATTTGAGTAAATTACAAAGAAAAAAAAAGTTGGATGAGAGAGGGCATTGTCCCTCCTCGGCAGAATCCGCCTCTGCTCTGAGACTTGTCCTTTTCTTTCCTAGAAATCTTCCGTGAAGAATTTTTTACACGAATTTCAATGCGTGTCCGTGAGTGTTTTTAAATTGATTTTCAAGAGAACGGATTTAAGAGAGACATTTGAATGACACTTGCGTTAACTATTAGACGAAGGAGGAATTGCGGAATACAAAATGTCAGTGCCACAACGAGATCGGTAATTCCAGAGTGCTGTAAAATAAAAGTATTTTTCTAATTTCCTAACTCACAAGAAGTCTATAAGGTCCTGTGGGTCTCTAAGGAAGTCCTTACATACTAGGGTGACCAGACGTCCCATTTCTAATGGGATTGTCTTTTTTTTTCATTGTGTCCCATTCCAACAAAATATTAACGGGACGCAAAATGTCCCGTTTTTTACGTACTTGGTTATAACCAAATAGTATAGAGAATTAGTCGCCAATTTTGTAGGTCACATCACTAGGTTTGCTAGTGACCAATTACCTCCCATTAAAAGTATGAGAAAAGTTAAGCGTCATGTATTGTCTATAGTACATATACATTATATATATATATATATATATATATATATATATATATATATATATATATATATATATAGTCTATACATTATAGTACATATTTGCTATAACCTCACTGACGACCCTCTCCCTAAACGCAATCTGGTTTTCGCTAAGTGCAGCTGTAGAGATTAATTTTTTTAAAAAAATGGTGAGATGTCTTCCATACACAAGTAGAGGATATCCATATAAAAACATTGAGGTGGTTGTGAGTTTTAGTCTAGCAGCAACAGGCCCAAATGCTGTGGTGGAAAGAGTAATTATTTTCAATCGTGAACTCCCTTTGGATTGATAAAAAAAATTTACTACCAAAATTATTCAAGCAATTGTAATTTTAAAAGCCCATTTCAAGAGCTGAGCTGTAAGAAATTCTGCAACCTGTTATAATGTAATTCCAAAATGTTGTTCATAAGTTGGTTATTAAAATATGTCGTTTTACGTAGTATCTATAAAAAGAATATTGTACGTGTCTCAGTGATGCAGTGCAGTCACATATGAAGCACATTTTCTTTGTAAGCTCATGCCGTTTTGTTCCGTTTTTTTTCCTTCCATAATACAGAAATGTCCTATTTTATGACAAAAAATCTGGTCATCGTAGTCTATAAGGAAGTCCTAATACACTTCCTGAATGCCCGACGTGCGCAGAACGTTCCGTGGAATCTGAAAACGATGCGCTGGTGGCAGGCAACACGTCCGAGCGGAGGCGGCGGAGGCCTGCGGCGGGGGGCCGAGCCTGGGCTGACGACAGCGCCAGCGCCCTCCTCCCTCCCCCGCCCGCCATCGAATTATAGGGAGCAGCGAGCGGAGCTGGACCTGGACCGTCGCGTCGCCGCGCGTCGCGTGCGGGATGGCAAACGAAGATTGCGCGTAGAAGGCCACGGCCGGGCCGGGGCGGGCGTCGTCCATCGTCCATGCACAAAAAGCAGTGAGTAGCGCACGGCGGACGAACCTTAATACGCGGTGCGTTGTCCGTGCGCGGCTAGCCCCACGGAAGTACATTGCGCGGTGATGTTATCAGCCGCGGAGGCGTGACGACGCGGGGCGTTTCGTCCGAGTTTCGAGAGTCGTGCGCGCGGATGTTCTCATTTTCAACGGGAGGGATGTTGGGCAGGTGCGCGACCGCGACGCCAAGTGGGCGTCGATCGCTGCTCAGGATGCGTTGCGCCGCAAACGACCGCCGGGTGGAATTCATACGCGCGTGTGCTTAATTACGTGCCCCTCTGCCTGCGCACGCACGCACGATTGCTAGCGCCCCCTGTCAATCTCGCCTTCGATGCGTTTGACATCTGCGCGCAATGGACGCGCCCCGTGACAAGCCATAATCTTGACTCCCGGCTGATTTTGTGTATGTGTGTGTGTGTGTGCTGTAGGTGAACCCCGTTCGCGCACTGGCTCATGCAGCTGGCCGGCTGCATTGTAATTTCGCACAATAGGTAGGCGAAGAAGCACCATGTCCCGCCCCCCGAATGACAACCTGCTCACCTACAAGCTCGTGGTGGTGGGGGACGGGGGCGTGGGGAAGAGCGCGCTCACCATCCAGTTCTTCCAGAAGCTCTTCGTCACAGACTACGACCCCACCATCGAGGACAGCTACATCCAGCACACGCAGGTGGACGGACAATGGTGCATATTGGATGGTGAGCGCCTGTCACTTTGCTTTATTGATTTGTCCCCATAACTTACAGAAAACATTAATCAAGTCAGGTTTATATCTCTTGGACAATGAAATGTTCACTACATGGTTGTTTGCTAAAGTTTTGGAAATTAAATTCGACAACCCAATGAAGGAAGACTTTAAAACAATGAAATTTGTTTTTAAGACAATTTTGCTTGCTACCATTAATGACAAAAAATTGTAAAATGTTTGCTTTAAATTAAATTTGTATGACCTAATCCCTGATGTTGAATTAATGTACTTGATAATACTCTCAATTTAAAAGGTCAAATTTCTTTGACCAGTTCTGGACACAGCTGGTCAGGAAGAGTTCAGCGCCATGCGAGAGCAGTACATGCGAAAGGGTGATGGTTTTCTTCTGGTCTATTCAGTAACAGATAAACAGAGCTATGAAAATATTGTCAATTTTCATACACAGATATTGAGGGTGAAAGATAGGTAGGTATCTTTTAATACTTCCATTGTTGCAAAATAATTTTGTTTCTAAAAATTCACTAATTATTGCCTAGAAATTAATCTAGTATTTATGCATAATGAAATTATGTTATTAAAAATGCAAATAAACATTTTTGTGACCACTGAAGGGAGTGTTGGCAATTGTTCATAATATGTTTATGACAATTTTTAGCATGATTTTTAATTACCAAGATATACTTCACTCTTATAAAAAGACAACATATTATATTCACTATATTAATTTGTACTATAACAAAAGCAGATTGATGATATTAAGTGTAAATATATGAATTATATTTTGTTTAGAGTTGAAATGAGCTTAAGTTATTTTAAAATGTATATTCTCATTTCTAAATAGGATAATTTGTTTCATTTTTTCCTTGTGTTTTGGCACGATTTATATTTGATGCAGAGATCAGTATCCCATGCTGCTTGTAGCCAACAAAGTTGATCTGGTTCATCTGCGAAAAGTGACAGAAGAAGCAGGCCGTGAACTTGCTCACAAATTAGCAATTCCTTACATAGAAACAAGTGCCAAAGACCCTCCGCTCAATGTGGATGCAGCCTTCCATGAGGTAAAAGAGCATACAAAATAATTTGGGTTGCTATGAATTGCTAGATGTTAAGACTACGGTTACAGTAATTCCTTTGTAAAAAATATTTATTTCAGCTTTTCTATTTTTCTAATATAATAAATAGAGAAGTAAATAAGATATTTTCTTCAAAAAGCAGATACATATTAAATTGTAAATATTGCTACTAGTTATCAGTATTTTGCTCACATTTGTAATTTTAATCTTCTCCGGTTTTACTTTCTTCTAGGTTGTGAGAATAATTCGTAACCAGCCTCCGGCTGAACTGGAGAAATGCCGCCGAAAGCGGCGTAGACCATCTAAATGTAACTTGTTGTAATTTTCTGTAATATTTGGAGAAATATTTTTGTGGTGTTCATTGGCAGAATAGTTGGACAACATTGGTTATACTGCCCTTGAAGATAAGTATTTAAATGTTGTGAAATTTTAAAAAAGCATTATATGTGCTTAAAAGAAATAAAAATACGTATGTATTTGGTGTCATGGAAATGATTGTTATGAAAAGATATGTAAATGGGTGTTTCTTCGGTAAAGTATTAGTCATGCTGATCATAAGTCACATAAAGAAGCTGGAGCTACAAATTATGTCTGCGAACTAACACAACTACAGGACAATGCAATGGTTCAACCACAGTTTTGGATTGCTTTTACATGTGACAATAAACAAGTATTAAGTCAATGGTAAGTGGTGTTGTCATAGTGTCCTGTGACTGTCTGGATGGTGCAATGTATTAATGTACTGTATGTGAATCCTGGATATTATTTGCAATTTAAATTGCTTTATCTTCTTTAAGTGCTTGTATGTGCATGTGTGAGTGTGATAGAAAACTTTTAGAGAAAGTAATATAGCATTTCTGCTTAATGGCTCCCGTGGCATATTTTTGTTAAAATGTATTATTTACCAACAAAGCTTTAACTAGAATATATGTATACAGTATTGATATTATGTCCAATAGAACTGAGCGCTCTTGATGGTCTTTTTGACGTACTGTGTGATTTCATATGTATTATGAATAATATACACATTTTTGTAATACTGTATTACATGATAACTTTTCTTTTTAACCAAATGTATTAATGTTCAAAAGAAATGGAAAAAAAAATTTAAACCTGAAACTATCTAAAAGAAATCTATTTAAGTCTGTCATTGCTGTGGCAATTAAAAGTGGTCTTTAATGTTTCTAATAATTTGTATTCTGTATTATTTTGCAACCTTGATGACTTTTCTTTCCAATTCCATATTCCCTCTGTAAGTGGAGCTTCCATACTATACTGGTTATCAATGAAACAAGTTGAAATAGAATAAGTATTGCTTTTGCACACAGTGAATTGGCTGAGAGGTTCCAAAGAGAGATGAATTTCATGACAATGTTATTACATTTGTGTGTGTATTCAAACGCGTGTTTTTTTTATACTATCTCGATTTCAAATCCATTTTTTAATGTGTTATTTCTTTTATTCTTATAATTTTGCCATAGTTGAGGTAAAAAGTTACTCATTTGTTTCAAATACCATATTTTTGTCTTAAAAAGGCCCCGTTATAATGAAGTCATTATAATACTAGCAAATCCATTAAAAATTAATGCCATATTTAGATTTAACAGCATCCATACATGTGTGCTGATTAAACATAATTGCATCACTTTATATGAAAATTGTAAGAAGGTGGGTTCCTGTCACTTACAGTCAATGAAAAGTTGTATAATCCTAATCATAATGATAGTTAAAGCAAACTTGAATTTCACTGACAGTCACAGATAGATATGTGGCTGAATTGCAGTGGATTGACGATATACTATCAGCTCCAAATGTTTAATAAAAACAGAACAAGAATCGATGAAGGTGCAAATAAATAGTACAAATGACATGACTTTAATCTGGTCCTGGGTATTGATCTATAACCTGTACAAACTTGAACAAAAATTACTACTTTAGTGTTTAAATTAGATATTGTCTATTGCCTATCGACAATAAAATAGTCTAAAAAAGTTGTAGTAACACTACTTGCCATCCTCTATTAAAATAACCTTGTTTTACTGACCTTATCTATGATGACAATTTTTTGTTCAGCTTCGTATAAGACATATAAGCACTGATGTTTATTTTGATGGAAACTGTGAGTTAAATATATATCAAAAGTAAAAATGTATAAAAGTAAACACCTAGAAATGTAATAATTTTGAATTGGGCTTTTCTGCTCAAAGTAATACCTTAGTTTGAGGTCAGATTACATTGGGCCATACAATCTGCCCAATCTTACTGTATCTTATATTTCAAGCTGAGTGTAATAGAATTTATGACTAACAAGAATATCCTCAATCTCTTTGAAACAGATTAGAGCCTAATCAAAGAAGGTGGTAATCAAAAAAAAAAACTTAAAGTACAAATAAAAATAAAAACAAATTAATCACTTAGGAAACATAATTAAAACACCTTGACAATTTAAATTGCATGATGCAAACTAACAATATTATCATACAATTTAGAGATATAAAAACTGAGTGCTCTAAATGATAATTATCTACGCCAGTGTACTGAAGTTTGATTTTTTCTAGTGTTGCTGCTTTCTTAGGCTTAAACATTTCTTTTAGAAAGTAAGTAGATATTGGCCAGAGCACACATCATAAAGATCTAGTTACTGAAAATGACCACTTTCAAGCATGTGCAAGAAAAAAAGCATTTAAAAATGATAAAAGAACTCATTGGTGATGAACAATCTCCTTGTGACAGAATTGGCGTTTTTACATTCTCGTATCACAATTTGCTTGTTCTTTAGTTTGATAAGAAAATTTCCAAAGAAAACTAAAAATTGTGGCCTTAAAATAAAAAAAATATGATATCTCATATGTGACCATTACAATTTATTGGTGATAGAATATCTCGTATGTGGTAAGAGCCACATCGGAGGTTTTTGTAAGGTGCTTTCAAAACTATTACAATATATAAATATTTCATACTAGTTTATAGAGTGTAGAATGCCTAAACTCAACCTGCGTTATTTTAATGTTACTACTTATAATAATAATAATAATAATAATAATAATAATAATAATAATAGAACAATACATATCAAATTCTGGTTAGCAACTACAAAAAATTTAACATAGTAGTACATCTATATTTAAAAACTTTGAAATGGTGAGGAGGCAAGTTGACAGTTTTTTTCTTTTTTCTTCAATTTGTACTTGTAGTCCAGGAGACACAGAATTTTCTTTTGGTCAGGCCATTCTCCTTCTATTTCGCAGGGATGCGATATGCCAGTTCTTTTTTGCCTTGCTTCAGCTCGAACAGTTAACATGAAACAGAAAGTCTAATGGGATAAGAAATTTCTTATTTATTTATATTTTTTAAGGAAGTGTTGTAATTTGAATATTCCTTTTACCACTGTAGAAACATGTTGTTAAGGCAGGAAAGCTTTCAAATTTACTTTTAATATATTAAATTTGTTTATGTCTTTAATATCACTTCCTAGTTGTAAAGTGTAATGCCCTCTTTTACGGTACTCTTTTGATAAAGTGTAGTTTCAGAGTCGGGAACATGTAGGTTATCCTTTTGACGGGTGTTGTAGTTGTGTACATCAGAATTTAAAGTAAAACTGTCTTTGTTTTCCATGAGAATTTCTTTGTGAAGACCACTATTTCAAATATATACATACATGATAGAGGAAGAATCCTTAGTTTATTAAACAAGGGTTTGCAAGACTCCAGCTTATAAGTGCTGGTCATTGTTCGCAATATTATTTTTTGGATAATAAAATGTGCGAGTGCTTTCAGGGACATTTCCCCAGAATATTATTCCATATTTTAGGTGTGAGTGCACATTTGCAAAATACATTGTTCGAAGTGTCTTAATGTTGGAGCTTGACCTGAGGGTGTATAGGGCATAGCAAGATTTGCTGAGCTTCTTGTTAAGATTTGAGATGTGTGTTCCATTTTAGGTTTTCTTGAATTGTTAGTTCGAGGAAGGTGGTTTCATGAGATATCGTTACAGGGTTATTGTTGATGAGCAAATGCTGTGAGAGTTTTTCTTTAGATTGGGGATTCATGAAATTTAAAGAGACTGTCTTGCTGGTGTATTGAGTTTGGAGTCTGGAATCCCACAGCTGAAGAAATCTTGTACTTTAGAGAGAAGTGTATTTTGTCCATCACACACAGTTTTTAAGTGTTTTTTGACATTACATAAATAAGTATTTAATAAAATCATTGAACTCATCAAAATTGAGTGTTTACAATAGGAAATGTGGATTTTGTGAATGGACATTGCTGAATACAACAATCACTCCAAAGGTCATATCACAAACAAACTATAACATTTTTAAAATGTATTTTATATGAATTCAAAATAATCATTTACAATTTGTTGCATCAAAATTATCACAAGGTAATTCATTTCAGTCAATCATGCATAACAGATGAACCCATTTTTAATAAAAACCTAACAACTCATTGTTTCACTTATATACCCATTATTACTTACAGAGAAATTAAATGCTCAGCCTTGAAAATATTAGCAACTTGCATTTTCACTGGGTAGCCAAACAGCTTTTGTGAAGGATGCAGCATACTCAAAATCAGTGGCATCCCAAGCACTACTGTTGGGTAATTTCCACAAACATTTTGTTGCTTTGTTTGCCATTTTATGAAGATTACCCAAAGAATCTTTATTATTGCCAGAATACCATAATGTTTGTACATCTTTATGGAAAATAAGTTCAGGATACAAAGCACATTTGGAACCTGGAAGTACGTTTACAAGGCCAGGTGGCACTTTCATACTTGACAAAAATGCACAAAACTCAATGGCAAGAACTGGATTTCTACAGTTAAGAATAATTACAACACTGTTACCAAAAGATGTTGCACTTAACACAGCAAGAACAAAAGCTTCAAGTTCTGAAAAATTTTCATCTACAACACCAATTACTCCCATTGGTTCTCTAAGATTCTGAACTACATAATTAGTCATAGGATTTTCATTCTTAATTGACATCATGTTGTTGCATCTTGATGCCCAATAATAAAAATACTTCACGCAATTTTCCAATTCTTTCTCACCTTCAGAAGTTGACTTTTTGAAAAACCTGGGAGGAAGAGAAAAAAAAATTATTCTTTGGTATAATTTTTCAGACTTCAGTTTATTTCTGAGAATCTTAAACCAAGATGAAAACAAAACATTTAAAGAATAACTCAGTCACATCTTCTACAAAAGAAAGCAATTATTGCTTCAGCTATGAAACAAATAGTAGGTAAGGAAATTATATTTTTTAAAGAGAAACCAAATTCAGAGGGAAAGTTGTTCGAAACCTGACATCTATGCAACAGATCAAAATACATTAACTTCACAATTTCAAATTACTGTAAAAAAATTTTTATTTTAAACTTTTAGGTCATATATCAAAGACATAACAAATTAAAGAAAGAAAATTAAGTTACTAATTTAAATATAATGGCGAAAACATCTTAACTCCTATAACATAACCATTTGAAAAAAACTTTATAGTACAGTCGACTATAGTTATAATGAACTTCTTGGTGAACATTTTTTGTTCACTATATTTGTTGATGTCAAAATTAAATATATAGAATTTCTCGTAATGATTGTTTTTATTAATATAGAGATACAGCAAAATACATTAATAGCACAAACTGAAAATTTTAATATATTTATTTGTCCTTAAAAATTAATTATTTTCAATTGTTTTCTTCATACTAGATCCTTCTCCAGAGTTCATGCTCTCTCCATACTTGATTCTGCATTGCCCTCTAAGTATGCAGTCATGACACCCTTCAATGCCTCTTGCACTGTTTGAACACCATCCCTCTCTCCGAAGGTCCTTTTACTCACTAATAACATTCGAGATGCTTTCAGTAACGGGATGGTGTAAGCAGCTAATGAAACTGATTGCTTTTGCATGTAGCATGGAGGATGTAGCCAGGTTGTGGTATTCGTATGCTTTCTGTTGCCTATGAAGAAGTTAACTGAACCTGTCCTGTGAAATGTCAAGTAAAACCATGCTTGAAACTGAAGTAAGCAATTGCACATAGCCACTGCCTGTTGTACCCCACTCACAAAATGGCCTTTGTTTCCGAAGTGAAACTGAGTGGCATAAGGTCATCAGTAAGGTGCGCCTTCCAGTCTGCTACCTTCACCACAGGAGGAGACTTCTTCAATTATCAACTATGGCCAAAATGTTTTCAAGTTGACTAGTGTTGGAATTTGTGGCACTGAAGCTATATATTATTTTCCAGAAAGAAATTAATTTCCAGGATGTTTTATTTCCTACATTCATTGTAGCTGAGGTTCAGCTTCACTAAAACTGAATCTTCTTATGCTTATTTGCAATGTAAGTGAAACGGGACCAGCGACAAAAGTTCGCTATAACCGAGGGTTAACTATATCCGTGTTCACTATAACCAGAGTCGACAGTATTTTGTCTTTGAATTCAAACGTTGTGATCTGTTGCTCATCATTTATTTCAATAATTAAATTTGTTCAAAGAATTGGTTGCCCCGACAGAACCCGGGCCTTCTGGTTACGCCCAGCTGCTCTAACCACTAAGCTACATATATAATAATTTCGTTTCTTCACAATCAAATAAAAATACTCACTTCAGAAAGTCTTTGGATGTTTCTTGAAACTTGTCAGCTGCATTGAGTAAAATATCAGCTCTGGTGTTACTACCAAGTTTCCACCATTTTTGCTGGGCCACCCGAGCGGTATCAACTGCTTTTTTAACATCATTCCTGTCCCAGTAAAGCTCTTATTACATGCGAATTAAAAATATCTTTAGGAATCAAATCACAATTAACAGCACAATAAAAGTTAGTTATAACAACAATAAATCTCTGAAATATTTTTTATATATATGATATTGATAATGACATGAAACTGGTCATTTGTGACCAGTTTCAATCTTTTACGCTTTGTCATAATAATAATTTAAAAAAAAGACCTTACAAACAATTTGGACTGTTACCGGCCTTTTGAATTTGTCTGGAGGAGGGTTAAAAAAAGGAAATGGAGAAAGAAATAAGAGAGAAGAAAAATTACAATAGAGAGAACGAGAAAGAGAGTGAGTGTGTGCATGTGCATGTTTACCAAACTTTTGAGGCTTTAAAGAACAGTATTTCTTGTATTAGAAAATTGTGGTTCACATTATAAGTGAGATTATTCACTATTAATTATATTGTACACAAAGTTAAAAACAAAAGAATGAAAAGAGTGAAAGAAGTAATGTTGAAGGATAGGAGTCAAAAGGACCCCTGGGCTTTCTAGTGGGTATTAGTAAGTTGGGCATTCTAGTGTTAACTTTTGGCCAAAGATAATTTTGAGACCTTTCAGTCATATAAATAAATATATTTACGGAGTGTCAACAAAGTGATAAGTGTACCACATTTTTAGATTTACGTCCACAAAGTTCAAATTCAATATCTCAAGATTTCTTCTTTCAAATAATTGCACGTTTCAAGTTCTTTACAAACAACTCTACTATATTAAATCTATTCTTTTCCTCAGTTCTAGTATGCACACACATGTGCATTAAAAAGATAATACTGTCACAGTATCTGACGTTCAATGATCATCCAAAAATTGAGAGAGACAATCAGGGATTCAAGATAGTATGAGCTGAAAATTAAAATCCACAATTCACAATTACCATCTTGGATTAAAACACATCATGATGTAGGCACTACTTACTGATCACATTCATGCACAAGGAAATTATTTCCGCTAGATGTCAAAACTGTAAACTGGGCGTCACCAGTCGTTTGTTTAACAGCCCCTCCATAATGTGCAAAATACTGCTTCAGCACTTGTGATTTGACCGTGATCTTATCAGTGCCTAAATCTTGCGAATAAGGGTATTTTTCTTCAAGTGGGAGAAACTGTTGCAAACCTGAAAATTTATTCTTGTATGACATTTCTACAAAGGAAGAAAATCATGAAAAAGACAAAATTGTGTTGCATTCACTTTGAAAATAGAAGTGAGTAATATTGTCCACTCACTATTCCCTTTCATACCGTAAAACTATAAAAAAATATGGAACCACAACAGTTCATGCTTTCTTGTATTATTAGAAGACATAGAATACAGTAATATTGCTACTTGCATCCATACAAATACTTCAGCCATCATTTGAAAAACTGTCTTAATCCAAAGAAGCTAGTATGAAACAAAATATACATCTTTAATTTTTGAAAATACAAAAGTTTTAATGGAAATATCACTCCATTAAATTCAATTTATTTTCCTTTATTGTTACAAAAAGTTTAAAGAAACTAAGTGATAGTAAACAACACAAACTTTCTGGTATTATTAGTGATGGTTACATAATATTATATTACTGTAACTTGTATCCTAATTCTTCAGCCCTCTCTGTCTCTCTCCCCCTCCCTGAAAAACAAAAAATAAACTAGTGGTGCTACCAAAGCACTCACTTTCTCGCATTATTTCAAAAAGCTCCGTAAAATTACACTACTACGTGACCAGCAAAAACGTTGTCAAGCAGCTAATTAATTTTCCATACCGAGACTCGAACTCTCATCCTCAGAGTTGACGGCACTCATACCACTATGCCACAGAAGCGATGCGCGTTTCGAACTCTTACAAAAGTATAAAACGATTCATGTACGGAAAACCTTCAACGATCAATATACCCACTAGAAATTCCCAAACTCTCCAGTCCGTTTTGAAGATCAACTGAACGGTTTGGGCGCTAGTGTTAACCACAGACAGACAAATGGACAGATGGACGTTTTACTGTCAATCAATTGTTCAGTATGAAGAACCAACTAAAGATGGATTCTGGTTACACCTAGAGTTAAGAGGATTTTTTTCTAAATTTAGCAACAGCATTTATCCACTTTTTCATTACCAGAACCCAGCAATAAGGTTTATTCTGGTGCAATTTCGGCGTTTTCTGGCGCATGATTACATAAGTTTTTCTTCATACGAAGAACTCATAAGGCGAGAAAGCAATAATAATTTCCGAATCATTAGAGATAACAAAGTTGGTCACATGGCCATTGTTAATAATGTATTTAAATTTCATACCAGAAGTTTTATTAGTTTACTTAAATCAGTTCATACAGATGCACAGGAACTCAACAATGATTTGACATGACGTACGTTTTACAAATCGCAAAAGAAAGTTGAAAAAATTTACTAATTGCAAAAGGACGTACAGACACGTCCAGTTTATTTGTGTATGCAATGATTGCATTTGTGAGTAAAAATGCTTCAAATGATTTTCAATAAAGTTTCTTGAATCCCTAATAGTTTTTAACAACAACTCTTTCATCAAATACAAATCCTCGTTTGAGACTCGAACCTTTGACGTTTTAGTTCCAAGTGATGAACCCGAACATGCCACTTAACAACCTCGGCCTTTCAGGAGTACAGGACATCTACATTTCCATATTACACAGGAATAACTGTTTCACTTCTAGCACTATGGAGCTGAGAAAATGTGAAAAAACATAGGTGTTAAACGTTGCAAATTTGAAAATCACATAGGGCTTACACACTTCAAATTTATTTATCTTAATTGATTGTGTTTGTAAGTAGAAGTGTTTCAAATGTGAACTAAAATAATATTTCTTATCTTTAAATAATTTACATTAAACTATTTACTGTATTTTACTGCCTCATATTACGCCAACCATTGAAGTAAATCTGATTTCCTTTTATAATATTTACAATTTTACAATATTTTCTTATTTAATGGAGTGGCTAGCTCTGGTTTTATTTAATCTCTGGGCATCAGCATACTTACGCTTCTCAGAGTACTACTCTTGTTTTCGTGGGCCTGAAAATACCGCTCATATGAGTATTCGGGAAATGAATAATTTAATTATCATTAGAGAATGTTTGTCACTACTGTTACAGATAAATTAATCAATTTACAAAGTTTGTCTATGAATTGCCAGCAATATTAAGGGTCGACTGCCCTAATTAATTTATTTCAAATTCCTTTTTAATAAGTTTTACCGTTCAACAATGTTTCTTTGTATTCCTATACTGTTTGACTGCCATCAACTTTCTACAAATAAAACACACATAATTCTTTCTCAATTTTAATGTTAACTTATACCTACACATAATTTGGTCTTGATATGTATTAATGTTTTTCTGTCACTTATTCCCCAAACTTCTCTTTTAAATAATTTACAGCAATCTAGGTGTTGTCAATGACGTCAGTGACTGTTCCATATTTCCATCTGGAGCTCTTCTTACACTGAATTTTAACTTATAAATTCCTACTCTTATTCACAACCTAATTATCTCACAAGTATTACAGTCTGTTCTCTGATCAATCGCATTTAAATTGCTTCCCTATTCTCTTATTATGCGTGGACCACATGTTCATTTTATATCTCCACGGACTAATTACAAAAATATTTCAATTCATGCCCTGATGGACAACAATGCTTCCTCTACCAATCCAGCATAGTTCTGACTAAAACTGTTTTTTCAACATCTTCTATCCGGCCTGACCGGTTCACTTGTTTCATTGTTAAATTTCTTCATCGACGCGTTCTTGTCGCACCATAACTATACACCGCAAGCATCTTTTGTCCCCTGTCAACAATGCACCATAATATTTATGTGCTTTATTATTTAAAAAATTCTTAAATTTCCCATAATTTACATTATCTAATTAATATTTGGATTTTGTGATGTGTCATAATTTCAATGTCTCAGTTTTTTTTACTCACTGTGCAATTCCTTATATTACGCAAGTTATTTGATATTAAAGTTTCGTTCACAAATACCAAAAATCCCTTTAAGTATTTTGCCCAGTCTCAAATGATTTTCAATAAAGCTTAAGCAATTTTCAACTGCTTTGTTCGGCAAGACAGAATTGTGACAAATAATTATCCCTGAGCGAGGCTCGAACAAGCCAACCTTGCCTCCGAAGCGCTGGGAAAATACAATTAATTTAACCAACCTCAGCCACTGGGATCGTACAGGGGATAGGCACTCCTATAATAGTCATAGCTTCGTGTTTAAGTCCTAGTATTAGGCATTGGGAAAATTAACAAAATGGAAAAAAATGCTCTTTAGGCAGAAAAATATTGCAGCTCAGATGGTATAACTTGATGAGATAAATAATTTTTGCTGGTTTGAAACAACAGACAGTGAAAAATAATTATCCCTGAAAGAGCCTCGAAACAGCAGCCTTTCTCCACGAAACGCTCAGACCGAAATCGACAGTTAACCACTTCGCCCACCTGGGTAATACAGCAAATTGGCACTTGAATAATAGCCATAAGCACTGAAAGACAACAATTGATTTGACGAGATATACATTTTACAAATCCAATAAGAGATGTGAAAAATTGTTTAACAGGTAAAAATTCAAAAAAAAAACATTCCCACACTTCCAGTTTATTTGTCTTGATAATAGTATTCATGATTAGAATTGCTTCAAACGGTTTTCAATAAAGTTTCTGGAATTATTAATTATTTCCTGCGACGCACAATTGTCACAAATAATAATTCCCGACCAAGACTCGAACCAGATAGGCTTCTCTCTGATGTGCTGACCCCTTATGCCACCAATTTGGCCACCTTGACCATCCCGTTAGGACATGAGATGAATATTTCTATAATAGAAATAAGTGTGTGGCGGTATCCGTCCTGGCATTACCAAGCCAAATTATTTAGAAAATGAAAAACCAACAACTGTTTTTCGGGCCACAAACAGCCGTGAAAAGCAGTCGCAAAAGCTAGTCAAGAGATTAGAAAACTAACTAGGGCTAGAAAGTCAGTGCCATTCTATAGCACCACTAGTTTATTATTTATTTAAATAGCTAATTTACTACAACAACCTTTTTCTGAAGCAAAAACACCTTCGATTTTATAGTTTTGATTCTTTTTGCAATTTTTGAAAAAAAATCAAAAGAGAGCAATACCCGAAATTGGGACTACCACCATATCTCTTTCTGCCCCCTATTACACATGTGAAGACAATTGAAAGAAAACATGTACATTGGTTTTTGAGAATTTTTGTTGTAAATTTCTAGCACAATTTAAGCAAAAACGACTAGTTTTTTCAAACAAATGTATATAACCTATCCTATAGAGGTAATTTTGTACAACAGACTTTGACTTAGCCAAAAATCTCTATCTTTAATTTTGTTCCTTTAAAAATTATTTTTGCAGCTTTTGAACAAAAACGAGCAATGCCCGAAAATGGTACTAGCACCATGTTTCATACATATGTGGAGAAAATTTTTAAAAAAATTGGGGCAGTTTTTGAGGATTTTTCTTTTGTAAATTTCAAGCGCATATTACACAAAAACTGCTAACTTTTCCAAAAAATTGCAGACCACCCTTTTGTCGTCAATCGATTTTTCAAGAACATGGATCCTGGCTACACCACGAGTTAAAGGAATTTTTTTCTGAATTTAGCAATAATATTAATCCACTTTTTTGTCACCCGGCAACAAGGTTTTTTCAGGCGAAATTTCAGCGTTTTCAGGCGCATAATTACATAACTTTCTCTTCCTAAGAAGAATTCGTAAGGTGAGAAAATAAAAAAACAGCAGAAGCAAAAGGAGCACGGGAGATTCTAAATTTGCAATTTTCAAAAGTTAAAGTATGTCTCTATGTGCAAAGTAAAAATCAGAAGAGGGCCTGGTATGACAGGAGGTCCAGAAACAATAAGACAAATAGAGATGAAAATGGAAGTGACAAAAAGTAAGATAATGATGATAATCATAATGTGTAGGAGGAAAGAAGAAAAAAATGAGAGCAGAGTTAAAATGTCCTAATTTTCTCATCAACAAAAAATTTTCTAGTCATTTAGCATGAATACAACAAATATCATTTCATTCTTTTACCTAAAGAAAATAATAAAATTGTCTACCATGCTTCAACATTATCAGATTGCATTATACATTCAATGATGCACTATATTTAAAATAAAATTAAATATTTTTATAATGCAATTCTTACCTCTAAGGCTCCCAATACATCCGAACCCTTGTTTCCTACAAGAAAAGGAAACTGATGGATCTAAAATACCATGATCATTTATCCATACTGTTCCAACCTGATAAAGGGCAATGAAAGGAGGTATTCTATATCAAACGCTATTTTAAAACACAGCGGATTGCTTAACAATCTATATGGTGTAACAATGACATACCTCCAAATTTGAAGCCATATACATTGCCAAAGACACACAGGATGTCCAGACAGAAGCAGCAACTCCAAAATGGCTTTTATTTGCAAACTCAAGTGCTTCCTTGGAGTTTCGAAATGGCATTACAGCCACAAAGGGCAACACTTCATAATCTTTAACAATGCTATTCATTTCAGCGTCTGTTCCTATGATTAGAGTAGGAGGAAAGAAAAGGGTGTCAGCAACAGGAAGTTGAAATACCTATAAAACCACAACAGGAATAGCTATTAGAGATAAGGTATTTTGCTCACAAAATATCTCACTATTGTGTTGGTTATCATGAACTAAGGAAACATCACCAATTTAATAACAACCAAAATAATCACCAATAAAAAATTCATTTCTTAATGAAAGGTTTAATGATGAAGGTTTGCTGGAAAAAGTATTTTTTTAAATATTTATTTGGATGATTTGATGTGCAATTTAAAATACAAAAGTAAATGCAGATTTTTGTAGACTGACTTCATACTAAAACTATTTTTGTCTACAAACAATAGATCCACTATTAGAAGAATCTAACCTTATTTGGAATTTTGTCAAGTAAATATTTTGAATAATTAATTGAAACTTTCATAGTTAAAAAGTGATAAGGAAAGAACTTCTACTTCATTGGTACCTATATATTTAAAACACTAAGGGGTTTTGTTAAGAAAGGAATTTCAACTTTCTACTTGGCCCAATTTAGTGGTTTATGCTTGCATGGATATCCTCGCATCATTAGGTTTGCAGTTGGTGAAGGGAAGATAGTAGGTGTTTGATGTCCGAAATTCAACTGTTTCTAAATGTAAAGGTTAGTGAGTGTAAATAAATTATCACAAAAAATATATGTAACTTTGTGTCCATGAACACTGATTGTTTTGTATTAGATTTTCTAAACCTCCTTCATTTCATAGGTTTTGGAGAATAAGAGTATCATGAAACCATATTTTTAAGGGTTTCAATTTTCCTTAGAGCAGATTTGTAGTATTTTTTGGTTGCAACTTTTCTACAGTCCTTACTTTTGTGCAATGTAATCGCAGGGGTTCAGCTACTATACGTTAAACTCATTGAGTTCTTTATCCATGTTTTGAGGGGGGGAAAAGGCTAATTCTGATAAATTCATCTCTTCACTTACAAGTGCTTACATAGGAGATACAACACATTTTGTAATATTAAAAAGAGTACAAAATTGACTTTTCCTGCACATTTTCACTGTTCAAGGCCCTTAGATTTAAAAAGAAAATAAAAAGATAACTTAGCTCATCCAAACTCCAGGACTCCACACTCAGCAATTTTTCTTAGCAAAATAATAGAAATTATCTGAATTAGCTGTGTAAATCTATACTAATAAAAATTAATTCAACAACATGTAACTGACATCCATACCACAAAAAGCAGTGCATGAATAGATATGCAATTTTTACACTGAAGTTCTTCAGGATTGTCGCAGTGTCCTTGCAAAGTTTGGTTAAGATTAATACAACACAAATGTGGAATATAAATAATTTAAAAAACATGTTGGTAGATGTACCATGATTATTTTTTGCCTATTGCTCAAAGCAAATTGGTTCCCAATATATTCCACCAGAGACCAGTAGCGTAAGATCACATAATCTTATTACATTCTAAGATTTTTAAATTCTAGTTGAACCATTAAAATAATATTTTATAACATCATTGTCAATTGCCTCTATCAAGTTAAACAAAATAAATTAAATATGTTCACATGGTAGTAATTTTCATAATACACGGTTGGTGGATTCCGTGCAGGTGTCACAGTTAAAGTGCAGTGCATGTATCATAGATGTATTGTATTAGTCCAATACATGCAATTCTGATCATATGCAGTTATGACTCTAAACTCTTTCTTAGCTTCTTGTTGGCGATGAAGTTAACATTAGGTTAATTTTGTTTAATATTAGGCTAATTTAGTTTAATATTAGGTTAATATTAATTAGGATACTATATTTTGAATTACTTTGAATAGTCCTGGTTTGACATTTGTAAATACATTTTAAAAAGAATGGGAAGTTTAATAATTTTAGTTATGAAAAAAAATATGAAAAATATTTTATCAGAACATTGCAAATTTCCTTGCAAAATGTATTTGCACAAACACATTTTACAAAATAATGGACATTTAAATTATTATTATTATTATTATTATTATTATTATTATTATTATTATTATTATTATTATTATTATTCACATCACTTCAAATAGTGCTGGTTTGACATTTCTTGATATGTGTATAAATGGATGGCAAGGATAGTATTTTTACGTATGTAAAAACGTACTGAAACATATTTTATCAGAACATTGAAAATTTTCTTGAAAAAATGTATTTAAAGAAATACATTTTACAAGAAGTATATGAACATTTAAATATAAATTTTTTAGAAAACCATTTAAGACCCTGAGGAAACCAGAGTAGATCGAAATCTAATAGCAACATACAGTCAAAGAAAATTACAGTAATTTTAAAAATTGTTCATTAAAAATAGTCATTTTAAACACCATACTTTATATAAAATTGATCTTCTTTCTCTTTCACAACGATTGGATATGAAGAAAGCCTGGACAATATGTATACTGCTAGTAACTCATAAACATCAAAAACACATAGTGTGTTTTATTTGCATAGTACCAACTACTATAAGCTGATATTGTTATTACCTCAATTCCTCTTTGAGAAAAATGATGAATAGCCTCTTTCAAAAAGCTGGAAGTATTTGGATCACACCGTTTAGGAAGACTGATATCAATTCCCTGATCACGACAGCTACCTACTTTTTGGGAATTAAGTTTATTTTTCAACATTGTAGCAAATGTTGGAAAAACTGATTCTTCAACTAGAATTGTTCTCACACACCATGGCATCTGTAACTGAAATCTTTGAAAGTATCCAATCATTGTTACTTATTCTGAGTGAGAAAAATTTACTACACACCTGTTGGTAACTAAAACTCATATTTTTCAGGAGTATTTCTATAGCAGATGACTGGTCAGAGGAGTCAAAAATTATACTGATACATTTACCATAATAAACTGTAAAAAAATAAATTATAGTATATATATAATGAAATAGGAATGGAATCAAAGTCACAATGTATGATAAAGTTTGTGAAATTTGGAGTGAAAAACGGATTTGGAAAGATCAAACACACTTCTAAGAGTGAGAGCTATTAGTGTTGAAATAATCTGTAATACATGCTCCAGAAGCATGTGCATTCACATACAAATATCGAAGAACATACAAGGTATAGTAGAACAGGATATTTCAGATACAAAATTGGCCACTTTTTCAGTCTTGTTTTTGCTGCCCCAAAGAGCAATCTTCCCCACATGCTTCTCAATTAATTCTCCAGCTCCTTCTAAAGGTCCAGGAATCACATTCACAACTCCTGGAGGTAAGCTAGGGAACAAAAATTACAAATATCAACATAAAAATTAATACTTAGAAACAAAATTTGCATCAGCCATATTTTTGAGAGTGACAGAAAGCTACGACAAATAGAACGAATAAAGCTGAACCAATTTGAAAAAAATAAAAATCATGAGCATGGATCATAAATATAACTGCTTCTTAATCAGACTTTGAGACAATATTAAAAAACAAAATTATGATAATTTGGTTTACCCAAATTCCAGGATGCTACATTCAGCAATTTCTCTTAGCAAAACAATACAAATTATATAAAAGTCACTCATTCACTGCTACACAATAATGAATATCATATGGTTTAAAAAAGCTCAAACTGATTTTGAAGCTACCACAAACAAGTGAAATATATGAATATTGGGTGGGGCTCAACACATTAAAACTAGATAGGTGCAAAGGACATTAATACATTTTAAAAGTTCTTTTGTTGGAAAGTATTTGCAAATAATAAATAAATTAGTAAATTAAATAATAAACAAACAAAAAACAAATGAATTGAAATTTATATCTTAGTGCAAACAATCAGAACTATAAACATTAAAAAATATTGATTTAAGTTAATTGTCAGCATTGCCTGGAATGATGATTTTCAGGAGCAAGTGATTATTGGCAACTGCTGTTGTCTAGCAGCAGGAAGTATAACTGAATTCGTCACATTTAAAACTGTATCCGGCAAGATGGCTGACAGTCCTGACAAGTCAGGTTTAATAAAGGAAGCAGTTTCAAATATCAGCAATAATGCCTATAAATCTAATGAGTACAGTTCTGAAATGACTGAAGAAAGGATATCAGAAGATGATTTGTTCAAAAGTGAAGATAATGTTCTGATGAAGGTGTGTAATAATGAAACTGGTTTGCAATAGTTAAGTGTTGCTGAAAATCACAGGCAGGATGTTTCAGGTGATCAGCACACAAATTACGGTCAAGCATCTTTGCATTGCCCTTTAAAATTGTCACTTATACTACCATAATGTCATTTATACACTATTTAATATTTGTTGTGGATACACAATTCACTTATACTAAACAGTATATAATTTGAATATTAGTGACTTTTTAATTGGGAATACTCCTAATTCATGTTTAATCCATAAATATTTTAGTATCTTCAAGGGATCATTCTTTCAAGCATTCACTTTAAATATTTACTAATGATTTATTTTGTTGTGATTCTTTTTCCATTCATGGACAGGAGAATGAAAATGGTTTAACAGTTTTAATAACTTTATCAAAGGCACTACTCCTCAATGTGATATAATGCAAATAACAAATAAGTTAAAAATACTTGCTTAGCACTGGCAATTGTTTTATTAGGCAACACAGTTGATTTATGTGCATTACACTCTCTACTGTGGTAGCAATCCCTGCAAAGGTCAATAACCTAAATATTAGCTGAGGCACCGGTGAGAAGGAAGAGGAGGAGAAGGAGGAGAGGGGAAGAGGAGACAGAAAAAGAGAAGAAGAAGAAAAAGAAGAAATGAGAGAAAGAGGAGGACAAGAAAGATAAGAAGAAGAAAAAGAAGAAGAAGGAGGACGAGGAGGAGAAGACAAAGAAGGAAGAAAAGGGAAAGAAAGAGGAAGAAGATAAGGAGGAGATGAAGCAGAAGAAAAGGAAGAAAGGAGAGAAAGAGGAGGAGGAGAAGAAGAAGGAGGTCGAGGAGGAGGAAGAGGAGGAGCAGGGGGAAAGACACAGGACTATTTCCTGAACCCGTATCTGCAGCTAAGTCTCAAACCTTTGAATATTTTAATTTTTTTGTTTTATTCAAACCATGAAATATACAAATACGTTGTTTTTTTCTGTGAACATAAACAAACTGTTACATCACTATGGTTCATACCCATGTTTGAGACATAAAATTCTTAGGTATGTAATTTCATTCTAAAAATGTATGTATGGCTTTTGCTTGTCCTAAGCTTAGGCATCCAACAGATTACTGTATACTGTACACACCCCACATCAGAACAAAGTTCTGCAAACAAAATTGATGCCAATGATGCTTCCAGAACAGGATTCAGTATTACAGTCCGACCTGCTGCTAAAGCAGGAGCCACTACAGCTGCCAGAGCAAGGGCAGGTGCTGGCTTTGAAAAGACTACAACTAAGGGACCTGTGAGCAAATAGAAAAATAACATGAATTAATTATTAATAAATTAGATTCTAATGATGATTTGGGTATAGATATCTTATTAGTGCTGCAAGTGATATTTCCCGATTAAAATAAGAGAAATATAACTAAATAATTTTATTCAAGGGGTTTACAGTCAGAACCTCATGAATCACCTCTACACCTTAATCTTTCTGTAATACTTTTTCCTCGCTGGTAATTGCTTGAATTTCTTGTCTGTGATTGAGGAATCGATTCCTAAATCCAGATTAATTGTTCACACACCAGGATGAACATTGAGGCTTCCTCAATCGCATATCTAATGGTCCAAGAAAGAGGTGTAATGTTCAGGCCCACAAGACCCGCAATGCAGGTGGGCCCAGGTAAAATAGGGCCTACTTTTAGCCTGAAGGTTTTGTGAATGTAAGAAATATTAATTACTTGGTACGCTCTCTGATACTTTGCAATAGTTGATATAATAAAAGACTAAAAATAGCCTCTTCCAGAAGAACAATTGTTTTCCACTTCGGGAGCTTATGAAATCCTGTTTCATAGAAATCAATAAAGGTAAGCAATTCATTTGGGTTTTTTGACTGTCTTAAATTCATAAAATAAAATAACATAGGCAGATTTTTATACTATTGGTGGTTAATCATAGACTGATGAATTCAAATTTGTTAACCCCTAACTGATGATGTGGTGGCTGTTAGTACCCCATTCTTTGAAAGATACTGTACCTCTGCGAAGTAGATGCAAAAAGGAGCCTATACTTTAGAGTACCTCTCAGAATAAATTGTTCTGTGAACAAGGCAGTGGTCACATTGTTGAAGGTGAGCAGTAACTTGTTATTTAATTTTTTCTGGTGCATTGGATCTAACCAATCACCACCTCAACAATTACATAAGTATTGTAATTATAAGTATGTATG